GATACTATAATGCGATCTGATATGATGTTGAGTTTCGTCAATACCCTTTCATAATTGTCAAAGAAGAACTTTGTAACGGCAGTTTTGTTAAACACAAAACTTCTTGCTGCTCAATGATCTTCTGCTGCTCAGCAGTGAATACTTGTACAACTGTGTACTTTGAAGTGTGTCTTTATTTTATTTGTAATTGTCTTTAATTTTTAATCACAGATTTAAATATTTCAATGCGGTACTGTAAATTGGAAACATTATGTATATTTATTTTCGTATTTAATTGCTGCTTGTCGTAAAGACAGAGTGTTCGCAGCAACTTTAGACATTGACAAATCAAGTCGGATTTCATTAATGACTTCATAATTAATTTGATTTTTGTAAATTTTGGGTTTATTTGTAAATAATGACTTGTTAAAATAGTTTCACATTTTTCATACAATATAACTAATAGGGGCACTTTGATACGTACTAAACTGCCCCACCTACTAGTGTATAAAAGTACCCCACAGGCTAGTCTAGGAAAAAACATTTAGTAAAAAAAATCTTCATATATTGCCCCGAAGTCACATGCAATTCTAGTTATTGAAAATACTAATTTACTCTGTATTAAGACATAGATCCTGTGAAATGAACAAAACTGCAGTGGCACTCGTATTTGTGTCGCTTACTTTTTTAGTCAACGGCTGTCAAAATCTCCAGCTACTTGAAACAGCTAATTGAATCCATGGCCAAAAATGCAGCCACGAAGCCTGGCATCCTTTCCAGAGTGAGGCGTTACTTCACACCGGGACAGTTGCTTCAGCTGTATCAAGCACAAGTCCGGTCGTGTATGGAGTACTGCTGCCACCTTCGGGATGGTTCTGTTACATACCAACTGGCCACCTTGGATTCAATTGACAATCGTGTCAAGAGGCTTATAGGTGACTCGGAATGAGTAGAGGCGAAGTCGACCGTGCCCCGCTTTCCCTATGTACTGTACAGGGTGTAAATTTGAGACGGGGCAGCAAAGCTAAGATAAAAGGCAATTTTACAAAACTTTTTTATGCCATTCGATCCGGTCGTCTCTGGTAAGGATCAATAGTCTCTACGGGACCAAATGAGGTAATAGTACTCGAAATGTCAGAAATCGGAAAAGAAACTGAAAAGAAAAGAAACTGGCCACTACTCTACAAATAAGAATTAAGTAAAACCAAATTATAATCATATCTTTTGAAAATTGAAATTTTGAATTTGGAATAGTTTTGTTTTATTTTGTTAATAGCGACTTGTTACTTTTAACACGATTTTTTATCAAAATGTTCTCAAGTGTAGAACGCTTAGACTATTGGATGCATATTATTTAAATAGTAAAAACTCTTTGGAGTGGTATAGGGTTAAATATCCTTTACGAAGAGTGCCCATTAAGAAAGGTTATAATAAATATTTTAAGGAATCTTGAAGAATGTGGCTCCTTTAGCAAAAAATTGGTACTACAACCACATGTTCTCAATATGGAGATGCGGTTTTGTCACTCGTAGAAGCTTTTCATGACATATCTTCAAGAGAAGTGGCCATCGAAGTGGGTATTTTGCACACGCAAGTATAGAAAGTATGGAAGAAATACGGATACAATTATTATCGTCGGGGTCGAATAGTACAAGCAATACATGTCGGAGATAATATTCGTAGAACTAATTTTTGCAGATGGCTTAGCGGAAAAATAAGCCGAGATCATAATTTTTTAAATTACATTCTATGGTCTGAGGAAACAAATTCTTCAAATAATGGTATGTATGTACAATAGGCGAAATTATCATTATTGGTCAAGAAAAAATCCGCTGAGATTTACCGAAAGCTATAATCAGATACGTTTCTCTTTTAATAGCTGGTGCGGTCTTATGTCAAATAGAATCTTAATGGTGGAATTTTACTTACAATGACATTGACTTACAATTATATGGACGTCGGGTCCGCGCTAAAAAGTGTCCGCACTTTTAAGGCGCTAAAATCGTATACAGAGCGCGACACTCCGCTTTAGTCTTCATTTGTTCTACTGACAGCGCGATACTGCGAGACATTACAATTTAAATTTCGAATAGGTTGACTTGGGACATTTTTTTCGTGGTTTTTGTATTAGACCCGTCGTCCATTTATTTGTAAGTCAATGTACAATGACATAATTTTAGAAAACCTTCAAAATCGTTGATACGAATTGCCGCTTTCGCTTTTGAGTTTTCTCAAAAGCACATACAACTCAAAAGTACACAACTACGCTTTTGTATATTTTCAACAAGATAGTGCTCCGCCACACAATAGCCGCGGAACGCGTTTAAATTTAAACCTAACCAGCGATTTGGAAACAAATGGATTGGAACACATGGTCCTATCAAATGTCCACCTCGCAGTCCTGATCGTGATCTGACGCCCCTTGTTTTTTTTTGGGGCCATGTAAAAAATTAAATTTATAAAAGAAAAATACAACAGTATTTAAGAATTGAAAGACGCACTTGCAGAAATTTTGAATGGAATCCATCCGAATAAAATTTTAGCCGCTACTTGCTCTTTGCGGAAGAGATAATAGAATCGATGCATCCGTCAAGGCGACAATCAATTCGAGCACTTACTAATGACTTACTAGGTTATTTTGCTTTTTGGTATTGTTTTTATTTTGAAATGCATAATACGTTGTCAATTTGTTAGTTTTCTTAACTACCTAGAATAACTGATTACTAAATATGTCCGCACAAAACGTATGATAAAAAGTTTTTTGCTATTTCTGACATTTCGAGTATTCTTATCTCAGTTGGTGCCATAGAGACTATTAATCCTTACCAGAAACCGGATTGAATGGCATAAAAACAAAGTTTTGTAAAAATTGCCTTTTATCTTGCTGACTGTACCATTTTTTCAAAATCTATGAATGCCAATCAAAATATCTTCAAAATTCATGGATAGTCTTCTAGCACCGTCTTTCTGTAACTAAAACGGCCTTGCTGCCCCGTCTCAAATTTGCACCCTGTATACAATGTGTATAAATAAATTAAACGGGTGAATTTCACTTTCCCAATTTCAATGGCACTTTTTGAGTGATTTTTGTAAAACCCTTTTTCTTTTGGTTTTAAGGTCTTAAACGTACAAATAAGATCAAGCAAAGTCAATAATTATAAAATCACAGAAATATTTAAGTTAAATACAATAAATTAAAAAAAAAACCGATATTTTAGGTCACGCGAATGAGATTGCAGTAACACGAATGATTTTCTCATAAACATAAATGAGAAAGACGGTACACACAGTAATGAGAAATTATTATTGCAACACACATTTTATCGTTGACAAAACAACATTTAACAACATTTATAACATGTAACAAATATTTTAATATGACTTCTTGTACCAAAATCCTTCTCATCCGTGTAAGACCGTCTGTCTATCTATATGTAATTAATAAATAAATCTAAATAAGTATTTTGTTATACTCATATAAACTTTGTTTTACATCAATATATCATCATCACCACCATCAACACCAACATCATGATCACCACTATCGTCAGAATCATTACCATTCACATCATCATCACAATCATCGTCATCATCACTACAATCATCATCGTCATCATCACCACCATCACCATCGTCACCACCGTCATCACCAACACTATCACCATCTAATTGTTATAATTCAAGTAAATGTTTGGCTTAAACTAATTATTTGACTTAAAAGTAGACAAGAATGAGAGCGACAATAATGATATTTGGGTACATTTTTAATTGTCAAGTGTGTAAAATATGCTGGACCGTTATAAAAGTGCATGGATTTTAAAGTTCCCTTTGTCTAATTAATGTACAATAAAGTTTATAAAACTATTACTTAATACTTATTTAGATAGATTGTTTTACATCAATGAGAACGATTTAGTTACTAGCGATGAAGTTGGTATTTAAGTAGATTTTTTGCTAAAACGGAGATGCACATTTCTTTTTTTTTTTTTTACTTTTTTTACTTCCCAGTGTACACTCCAATCCGACAGGAGCCTCTTCTCACGTGTGCGAAGGGTGAAGGAGATGCGGTATGAACTTTTGTTATTAGGCTTTTAGGCTTTTAGTTGAATTGACACTAATGATAAGAAAAATTTAAACACATTTTGTATTCCCAAAAAAAAACATATTTGTTTATAATAAATTGGAAAGTTACGGTATGTATTCGACGTGCAAGTTATTAGAGTTTATCCTCGATGAGAAATATTACGATTGCCACGAGTATTTAATTTTGTTTCTTCATTTCTTATAATAGGGCGACGCGACGTGGAACCGGCTCCCATGAATGAGAAATTGCCCACTTTTTAAATTTTTATTTATTAAAAAAAAGGAAGCAAGCAATTATATTATATAAATAATGCTTAGCATTCATGTAATAACATAAAAGTTAATGAAGGGGACACATTTTTGGAGGTTATCTGAAAACGACCCAAACGTGATTAACTTTACTGTTGGTGACAAGAACACATTAAGATTTAGGTACACATGTTTAATACTTGCGAAAGTGTTGTAGACCGTGTAGATATAGCTTACTCTGGTTTACTCGAAGGCTCCTCGAATGTTAACTAAGTTGTATAGCAAATCACAAACCCACGGTCAACTGCCTCTGTAGATCTACTAAGTCTAAAAAGAAACGCAGTTTTCCGTAAAAATGAGCTATTAAATCACTGAGTTTTACAATCTTTTCACTAATTACTACTAGGTACGTCTAGAAAATTGTAAAATTCTACAAATAAAATGAAACCCTGTACATAGAGACGTAATTACGTGTAAAGAAACGTACATTTGTTTACGTATCAGCTGATGTTGACAGTTGACACACGAGTTGTGATTAGAGATGTCATTGTGATAACACAGAGATTATTTTGAAAATTCAATTTTCGATCGCATTTATATTTCATACATTTATTGTATAAGTTTATTTTGCATTGTTTAATTTTCTTTCAAACAAAATTATTGTTACATAGTGGGATGCTGAGCAGTTAAATAAAAATCAAAAGTGCACAAACGACTATTCTGTCGACAAATCTTCAATAATACAAACATTTTTTCGTTATATATAAGAAGTACAATGAGCGGAACTGCTATGGCTGAAGTTCCCAATACCTTCCTTTACTTCGCATATGGAAGTAATTTATTGAAGAAAAGAATTCATATAAACAACCCCTCGGCAGAATTTTTAGGAATTGGAAAACTCGAAGTAAGTTGTACGCCCTTTTCGGTTCTCCATCACAATGATTTGTCGGTATTAATCAATCGTGAGCCTTATCACCATTGTTTGGTATATCAATTTAAAAATAGTTATATCACTTTTATCTTTTTGGTTCAAATTCCTAAAACTGTCTGTGCACTTGACAATTTGTTTTAAATTTAGCTGCATAATTTAGTGTACCTTACATTCACGAACATTATAGTGGTTTTGTGTAATTTACACATATTACAGGCATCTTGAAAGTGTTAATACTTGGCCAGTTTTACCGTACAGATCCTTTTTATGTTGACTGTTACCTAGTTCTATTTATTTGCTTATTTAATTGACCTCCAGTTAACATTATTCTTTAGCCTTTGCTAAAGTACAAGTACAATATACCTAGCTATAAAATTAAAACACACATACTTCTAGCTATGATTCTCAGAAATTTTAATCATAATATTTGAGATCAGTTGACTAGATATTTAAAATTACTCATTTTAGGGGCACCAATTAGATTTTATGGGCTACAGCAATAGATGGGGTGGCTGCTCAGCTACCATAGTTCCTACACAAGGAGAACACATCTGGGGAGCCATTTGGAGGCTGGATAATAAGGATATGCCTGCTTTGGATAAGTGAGTGTGATGAGTAAACAGCACATTTAAAAAGAGACTAAAATAGTTTTAAGAGACTAAAACATTTTTAAAAGGCCTAGAACCTAGGCCACTACTAAGCATAGGTTGCACCACCTGTAGGCCACCACTCTGGGCCAAAACGGGTTGGAGATTTCATACAATTTTAGAGAGCTTTTGTTAACCTTCTAATTCTAATAATTATACTTAGCACGGACCACTAACTCAAGAGGATGGCTAATTTCCATAGTAAACGTAACTTTAAAAAACGTCAAAATTCTGTCATATCTAGATGGCGCTGATCAATAGCCTGGAACTAGTTTATACATATAATGTAAATGGCCGTGCATATCAATTAATTTCTCTTTAATATGAAGTATAAGAAGTCAGTTTTTTTCCTTGCATATTCATATATTGATCATGGGCTAAAATTATTTATTGATATTTGACAAATATGCGTGTCAATAGGTATTGTGTGTTACAACATAATTTATAAATTAACGCTTCCTAATATGGGTAGATGGCGCTAATCCTAAACAAAATAAAAGAATAGCCAGCACTATCCATAATAAAATCAGTTTAATAAGCGCCATCTAGTTGATTTATTTGTTATCACTAGTAATTATAGTGGTTTTGATAAATTATTGCAGCCTGTCAATGTAAAAAAATTAGTTACGGAAATAGCTATTTGGTACTCGTCGAGACAGCAGTCCTCTTGAGTTATTGATCCATGATACTTAGTAAACATTACTATAAGTGTGAGGCCAGACGAGCGTAATCTTAAGTTGCGTAGTTTGCGCTGCATTCGGTATCATATAAAAGTACGGCTTGTTTCACACGAGACGACGCAAAATGAATTATCTGCCGACTCACGGACGTAATGACGACTGACTTTCGGCCGCATCGTGCGTGAGACGGGTTGGCGCGGGTGGAGGTTGGGATGTGGGAAGGGGTCACTTTGGTATAAACGCTTAAAAAGCAACTGAATGAAATACGTTTGTCTGGCGCTCCAACCGAATTTCGGTCGAGCGCCAACTGCGCAACTCACAAAATTACGCTCGTCTGGCCTTACCTTAAGATATATGTGGCAATAAGTATCTCTAAAACGAACTAATCTGTTATTGTTTGAATTTCTTGCAGCATTCAAGTGATATTTTTTTAACTGCAATTGATCAGTTCACTATTCTACTGCATACTGAACTCAAACAAATTAGCATCCAAACACTATTAACGTCACTCCAGCGCTAACTATAAAGTTTAACTTAAAACCTTTAACATTATTAACTGCTTTTTTCCAGCCAAGAAGGAGTTGGCGTTAAATGGTATTTCCCTAGGACTGTTCCAATAATTCTGCCAGATGGGACGAATGTTCATTGTCGTACATACCAGCAAACTAAAAACCCACCTCCTCGAAGACCTGGCGAAAATATCCCCCAAGATAGACTGCCTTCCATAACCTACATGGATGTCATTGTCAAAGGGGCCATTGAATGCCAAATGCCTGATGAATATATCGAACTCTTGAAGAATATACCTAACAATGGTAATAAAGCAAATGAAGAGATGTTGGACCTGCTGAAAGAAAAGTAATTTTTTAAATATTCTACCAATATACATACTTGACAGTAAAATTACCGAACCATCCCTGATTTTTATACTTGATGCTGTTTCTGGTATTACAGTTTCTACTACATTGCAAGATATAATATCAATGAACATATTGACCAAGGTTGTTTAAAGCCTGTAAAATGAGTTGTACCTTATTGCCTACTACCCTATTTAATGAAATAGGTATCTACTTAAGTGTTGAATTATTTAGGCCAATTGCGCCGATATGACGCGAGTTTTTATGAATACAAAAATACAGTTATATTAGAATAAATTAACTATAAAATAAACCTTCATTAGGCTCAACGAAAAAGAAGAATATGTTTCAACTTTTTAAATTGGTTTAAAAAGCAATAATAACTCTTTAATAATCTTCTCATCAGCAGCAGAAAGTATAAGATTCAGCGGCGGGCGGTGGCTTATCACTCTTGCTCTTAAGTATACATAAGTAGATAAATTACCAACAAGTTAGATTCGACTCCAGCGGTGTTGCGGAGTCCTAAGCTTCTTCTATTGACGACACGAACATTGATGTCAAAGTCAATATGTCATTTCATATTGTTTTTTATTGAATTATCATATCAAACATTTTAATAAAATATGTGAGTTATCATTACGTTTTCGTATTACCCACGTATATACCTACTTATTGTTTTCCACCAGATGCATCTGCCCTGACTAGGATGTGGAAAACAAACGCATATCTCCACGAATTGAAAATTACGACAAGTAATATCTTGTATAAGCCATGGCCAAACATGAATCATCATGTGTTAATCTCTTCGCTTTGCTAGCTAGTAATTCTGGACCTTGATAATCTCTGCAATACATACTCGTATTACTTATTCAAAAAACTTCGCGACACCCAAACCTTGTGTTTATATTTGCTTATTTCTGTACCATATCGTACTAGAGGAATGCGCACATTGATTAGTTTTGAAATCTTCTGAACTACCAATCAAAACAATCCAAACCCAATTTATTACAAAATCCCAAAACCAGCTTTCAATCTCACTAAAGGTAGACATGGCGAAAGGCCAGATTCATAGCCTCTTAAACACAAGCGTATCTTATTTCCACAAAATGGACTCCATTCACACTTATTCCGATTTTCCAAGATGCCTCTACGCTACGAACGGGCTCCGGCTCTTGGATTTAAATCTTTCTGCCAACCGGATTGTGGCCGCTATATCCATTCCAAAAACTGCTGCCAAGAACCAAAAAATTTGGGATCTTTTCTAATATCAGATTGTGGTTCACTAATGTGAAGCGGGTTTAGGAGTAGCTTTGATGTCTTTTTTGAACTTAAATCTCTTTTTGTTTGGAGTATTTTGGGACGAATCTGCCCGCTATCAGTGACATGCTTTCGCTCGTAGGAGCAAGTCTCTATCGAGTGGCTTCAGAAGACATTTTTATAAGATTTAGAAGTGCGTCTGTGTACCTACAATATCTGCGTAATACACGATTTAATCCCGCCAGCACCCTTCCGTTACCACCCACTCAGATGCAGCGAGATATTCATGGTACATGTTCTTATAATTCACATGAACAATTTTGCATCTCCTTTGCCGAGTGCCGCTTCTTGAACGATTTTGATAATTTACTTTTATAATAAGAACGACATTTTGACATAGGTACAGGCATCTTCTAGGCTAACATTTACCTAGCACCCTCGTCCACATCTTTACTTTCCAAGAGGTGAGGTTGTTGTGGATTAACGTATATCTCTCATGTTTAAAAGAAGATTTTGAAATCTAAAATGTTCCTATTAGTTTTTAAATTCATAGGTAGTACATTTTAAATTTTATACGTGTGTAATTCGGATTACATAATTATTTTATTTTATTTTTTTACATAACGATGAGAAGAGGGGCGCCACAGTTACCGACAACATTTTACTATTTTGCGTACGGTCCTAATTTACTCACATTTAGAGTTCATATGTACTCACCTTCTGCGGAATTTGTTTCCATTGCGCGACTCGATGTAAGTAATGTATTTCTTTTTTTTTAGTTCGTTGAATACGCATAGGATCGAAGCTGTAGAATATAGCCCTACCGTAAAGGAATTTGTATAAACTAATAAATTAAGCTTCGATACAATACTACGCTTAATGTATGTGGTGCTCCTACAGGTGGCGGTTCAATTTCTTTTCACCTTATTATAAACAACTTCACCAAAACACATCAGTCTCTGCTACTTTAAAAAAAGTTTGCTTCAATCCGAATATTTAAAGTATTTCAGTGCTTGTTTTTTACATACACGTATAGGAATGCTTGGGTAAAATTGCTATGAAAATAAACATTTATTTTGATTAACCAAAAGGAACGTATGTACGATTAATGTTTAATCCATGATTGCAAAAATGGTTTACCAAACTATTTAACCGTTTTAACATCTCTGTCATATAGAATTACAGATTAGATTTCATTCATTATTCCAATTTTTGGGGAGGACCTGAAGCAACCATTGTGCCTACAGCGAATGCGCATGTGTGGGGAGCCATTTGGGAAATCAACCGTAACGATTTGGTGTCACTTGATGAGTAAGTATATGTTGACTATTTAGCAGAGAATATGCTGCCGACATCCTACCAAAAACAGGCAAATGCTTTTGCGATCTTCAAAAATTGCCCTATGCCCTAAAAACAGTGTGCTCCAGAAAGTCAATAAAGTCATCATTTTCAATCAGCCGAGATCAATCTAATTTGTGAGTTAAATCAACTATTGTTCCGATTTGAAATGTCGGGAGAGGCAACAAAAATCAAGCTGCTGGTTGCAGCATCACGTCAAGGTTTAGTTTTAGCAGCAGTAGAGCTTCTTACGAAAGAGTTCGTCCAGGGAAGTACTGCCACCTTACCTACTTCTGCCGCCAAGCAATAATGTCAGCATTACTGTGTTCCAGTTTTGAAGGGTGAGGTTACTGGTGAAATTACTGACACATGGTGCTTGTCAACTTATGTTGCGACATGCACCCTGAAGGGTGACGGATTTTTGCGATTTACAGCTCTGAGTGGCACTGCAACTGTTATGGGCAGACGTGTAGCTTACCACCAGGCGCACGCCTTGTTCGAAGCAAAAAAAAAATTCGTTGACAGATCCCTACACTGACTGAGAAAAAAGCTAATGGTCTTTATACAGCTTAGCAGATATGGTTAAAGACCATCCCGATGAATTGACAGCTGGCGGTTCATCAAGATGACATAGAAAAGTTTGAAACCAGGCAATTGGTGTGGCATATTATTTAGACCTTTAACCTGTTTCAGCTGCAAAGGAGTGGACATAAAACGATATTATTACAAATACGCGAAGGTTCTTACGCCCCACATGGGATATTTTACATGTCGCCTTTACATAGCTAAAGTGAACCCTCTGCCTAGAGGAGATAACGACACAATACCGGTGGAGAATTGGCCTTCCTGGACCTACAAGGAGATGATGATATTAGGCGCGACCGAACACAATTTTCCCGAGTATTATATCGAACAATTGAGAGAATTGCCAGATAACGGCGAAGAAGCATATCTCAGGACTGTCTGTTTGCTTATACGGTACGGCAAGGAAGAGCCTTGCCTGTGTGCAGTTCCCGGCCGCATACCAAGAAAGCATCTAAAACTAGATTTGCAAGAACTCAAAAAGGAACGGCAACAACAAAAGCGTACAAATATTTCTACAAGCGGTAAAAAGTAAAAATAAGAGTTTTCTATTTTTTGTAACTTTTATTAATATAAATATTAAAATTATTATTAATAGGTACTCGTTTCTCATTAAATAAAATATAAAAATTGTACACTATCTCAATCGTTTGGTGAAATTGTATCTAAATTGAGCATAGAGCACAACGCTACCCCCACCACTTCATATACATAAAACACGCACACAAATCACACGAGGAACACATCATTTGGAAATTATTTTATCAGTCAATAATTTATGCATAATATAATTACTAAAATGAGGTAATGTAACTGCCTTACTAGGTGGAAATCACAATAAAAAGGAAATACTGATAAAAATAAGAGCGAAGAAATTAAATGTTTATAAAGCCCGCAGGGAACGCTGTGTGAGGCAACGTTGTGCGAGACTTGCCTCGGCTGTGCGGCCGTGCTCCGCCCCCCACAACACTCAGCCAGTGCTTTAAGCTTAATACAACTCCGAATCATACTTCGATTGCACTAGAAGCGTGGTAGTGTGAGGCGATTCGCAGCCGCAAGGAAACCGGGCTCGCTCGTTGGTACAGGAACTGTAATCGCACGCGATTCGCCGCGGCGCGATAGCTTGCCAGATAGACTCCCGCTGTTCAACCAATAGGCTATTTCCCGACATTTCGTGTAGTGCGAGATGGCACCTTTTTAATGTATGCATGCTTAAGGGGACTTACATCTCCCACTCCACTGAAATGTGCACGATTCACATACAAGGTGGAACTAAAAATATGGCGCTAATATTATACTTAATGGTACCTACAACATTTTCATAAATTGAGCAAAAGGCACTATGCAATTTCTAAAATTAAAGAAATATTTGGATTTGAACTTTGGAAATAAATTTGAAATCGAAGATTGAAATGTTTTCGCTAATGAAACAATACGAACAATGCAACGTGCCTTGAGCCCTCAACAAACAACGACACTCGATTATGTGTACACCTAGCCCACCCTATTCGCGAGCCGCGTCGGCCGCCATCCTCACAACTTGAACGGACAGAAACCTCGGCCGCCGCGGCGACCATACATTTAGACGTTAAATGTATAAATAAATACTATACGCTAACCTTTCAAGTTTCATTGCCCCATGCCCAGCCAACATCGTCGTCGAATTGCATTCCTGTAACACGTTTTCCATTGTGTTTGAGGACTCTGTTCATCTTAAGGAATGAGATAAAAAAATAGATCTATCGTTTCAAGATAAACAATTTCGTAACACGTCACACACAAATGGAACCGCATAGTCGTATGATATATGTAACGGCATGTTCACACAATCAACAATCCTGCATTCCGCTGAAGGCTGGATGTCTGAAGGCACTCGTTTATACCCTTATAGCATATTATCGTTATAGTTTTTATATCGGCCCGCGCCGCAGCGTCGCCGGTGCGGCCAGACGCTGCGATGCCGACCCTAGGATTGTTGCAGTATTGGAACTTTGATTGAATACATATAAAATCTACAACTTAAATATTCCTGTAGATTTAAAATAGTATACTGTAAGTTTTTGTGTATGGAGCTAGCGTAAATTTTACATAGTACGAGATAGATAATAACACTATACTATGTAAAGGGAACGAATTTATAACATTGCAATAATTCATACTATGAGCCCAATCATAAACTTTAAAAACAAATTGAGATTTTCTAGAGATACTGAATTACCATTTACGCAGAAAAAAAAACAAAATAAACATGTCAACAATGGAAAAATTTCATAGATACTATGAAAATAATTGTAAGTTAATTGGACTCAGGCAGAAAATACAAATACGTTATATAGAAATCGCATACAATAATTATACAAATTAAATATACGTATATCATTGGGTATATATCCCGTATATAATTTGATTTACCTGTGACAATAACATACATAAATATGTAATTGCATTCGGTCACCAGTCCTCTAATAATGTTTGCTAGTCAGACTTTAGGCATATCTGTGTTTGTCAAGAAGTAGTCTTAGCAACGAACGCTAAAATCCAACTTGCGTTCTAGCCTATGTAGCTAGATTTTGTCTATATACAGTAGAGTATATTTCGTACTAAACAATTGTTATAATATAACTATACAACAACAATAATGGCAGGTATATCTATTGCATTGTAATTGATATAGAACACATTGATTTCAGCTTCGTATTAAAGAGTCAACTGCAACAAACTATGACTATTCCCATGGGTACTATTATCAAATATTACATATGAATAAGATTGCAACTATATATAACACAGTGTTAATAAATAACAGTAGATACAGTTTTATTAGTTAGTGTTGTATAAGTCTTTGGTGGTTAAAACCGATTACTGAAACGGCAGTGGATTTCACTTGTAAAGACGGTATGAACACACTCAGTATCGTCTGCAGGTAGTTTCGAATGTTAGATGTGAATAGGGAAAACGTTAATACTGGTTTAAAGAAAGAGCTAAATGAGTCGCTACAAATGAAGTCCATTGTTTTTCTCCGTCGTGTAAAGGAAATAAACACGACGCGAGGGAAGGGAAGAACTGAGTATTATAAACAGTTGCATCGATGGCGCCGGGCGGTGGCGCTGCGGCGCGCGCGCACTCTCAACAAAGAGTGCTCTTAACAGCAACGTGGCGGCCGGTCGCCTTCCGCCCGCGCCAAGCATCAGAAGCTTGCCGGCTAAACGTCAAGAAATTAACCAAAGTAATTTGTACACGACCTTATCTAAGCAATCATTTACCTATACACACTTTACATCTTACATCATAAACTTAATATTAATAGGCTATCACCATTGTGCACCGCAGAGATTTGTTGTGTAATTAACTATGTACTTAATCGTGTTTTTTGGATCCACCGTAGACTGGACAATACTATCAGGTGTACTTATTTGTGGTGTCGCCTGTGAAACTAGTCCGGTCGGAGTGTCGGTGCACAACGGTTCATGTCAAAAACGACACTGATACAACTATATTAATGAGGTAAACTATATAGGATTCACGTCGAGATAGATCGACTCTCAATATCGCTCCAGCAAAAATATTAATTTCCTGATATGAAAACGAATCGCCAGACGAAAAAAAAAACGCACCCGTCGCGCCAGAAACGTTAAACGAATAATTGCCTAGATTAACCTTTTAAAAAAATCGTCGCCTCTGCACGCGAGCACACTCCGTGTGCAATAAATTAGTGTAGTAAATGCAGAGAAGATTTATGAAAATTTCCCTATAAAATAAGACAATTTTGAGATAAATTTACGCTAGAGTCGAAAGTGATCGGGGGGCCTTCGGGCGTCGAGCGACGAGCGCGTACGTACAAAATAAATAAAATAACACAGCGAGCGACAGACGCCGCTCGTGATTTCACTAACTACGCTTACACCTAGGATTCGAAGAGCCGACCGCGCGCGCGGCCGGCCTGAGGTAGATAAAGCGGCCGGGGACCGGGCCACGGGGGCCGCGGGGGCCGCGTGGCCGCCTAACGCTAGCAGCCCGTGGAGGCGGGGTCGGGGTCACGCAGGACTCCGTTGGGAGCGGCCTTTAGTGCGATGGGCCGAGGCGTGGCCGGCTGCAGGGGCTCGGCGGCCGCGTCGTTCGACGTGCGGCTGCGCAGCGACGGCAGCTCGCGCATCCACGACGCTAGCCGCCCCGACACCCCGAATAGGTTGGATCCCGAGCCCGTCGCCACCGCGCCCACGTTCACTTCCGGCAGATCCGTCTCCTCCTCTGCAACACGACACGATTGACCCTGACTACATGCACGTTGTTGGCGAACCTTTGAATCTACTCGCAAACTAAACTCTAAGCATTTCGGAAACAATTATTTTCCCATCATCCGATTGCAGTTAGGTAAAGTAACAAACAACTCATATGAACAGTTGCAAACTATTCAGTATTTTTCTTTTAATAAAAATCACTACGGGGCCGAAAGCGATAGTGCTCTAAATCATAACAGACCCTACATAATTTTTGGCCACTCAGGAAATGATAACAAAGGTGCTGTAAATTGCATGCAGTACCCGCTACTTACGGTCATCAGTGCGCGGCCTGCTCGCCACAGACTTCTGTGAAGGCGTGGCCGTGTAACAAACAAGCGTTCCATATTATTATGTATCCTCAAAATTAATACGATAAGCGTTGTTACTTCGATAAAACGTTCCGTGTTAACTTGCCAATGTTATCATTCACCGATGACCCAAAAACGATGTATAGGAATTTGTATTAATAAAATTTTGTGTACGTTTAACAATTTGCTGATATGTACTATTACCCCAAAAATAATGTGCGAAATACTCGTGCATGTTAAGAAAAGCAAGTGACAAAAAGTTTACTTTTCTTGGGTTAATATGTACAGCCACCAGAGTAGAACGGATATTATAGTTCACGAAAGGTTATTGTGCTGATTGATATGGTGTTAAGAGTTCTCTACTGTCAGCTGTACCAGTGTTAAGATACGTGCATTTCGTACGCGTACTCACCGACTGAGGTCCTCTGAAACGAGTAAAGCTCCTGGCCCTGCGGCGAGTGAAAGAAGGATCGCTGCCGGAAGCGCGGATGCGCGGATGGCGCGAGGTCCGCCACCAGCTGCAGGAAGGTGGGCCGTGCGGAGGGTCGGTGGGCCCAGCAGGCGCGCATCAGCTCGTACAGGCGGTCCGGACACTGCTCCGGTCGTTCCATCACGCCGCCCTCCACTACGTACCGAACTACTTGCTCGTTAGACAGACCCTGCAACAATCAAATTTACAATATTAGTCCATGAAAACCAAGGATACAGAACTCCCAAGTATTAGAAATAGCGTGCACTCTATTTCAATTACTTGTAATTTGGGTGTATAATGATTAACAATAGAAGGCAAAAAGTCAAAAGAAAATAGTTATAATTATCGATACAAAGATCGAACAACACGAGATGAGACGAGACGACGACGCCATAAAAACCGATGCGCAAGCCACTCGACTCGAGGTCGTCATACATACATTTATGAATGAATTTGATTGATTGCATGGATTTATTTATATATGAATGATTTACTATCTTGATATTCAATAAATAAATATTGCAAAATAAAATTTTCGCTTAAATGTGCTACAGTATATTACATAGTAAAGTTATTGTTATTACTTACAATCATATTTATTGATATGTGTATTGCTTCCTAGAAGTTTAGGTAAATAAACTCACTCTGCCTATGATAAGTGACACTTAGAATTTTGTCAAAAAGTTTCATTTACATAACTATATTTTTTTATCGAGATGTATTGAATGTATTTTTCGTGAGATTTCTCAAAAAACAAGATAATATATAAACGTACCTGATATGGTTGCATAGCGAGCGTGGCCATCTCCCATATGACGACACCGTAACTCCACACGTCGCTACTACTAGAAAACACCTGTTAACAAGAAAGATTAATGAGTAAATATGTTGAAAACAAATCACATGTTCCAGTTAAAATACTTACCCCATCTTTTAAGCTCTCGGGGCTCATCCACCGTACGGGCAGTAGGCCCTTGGTGCCTTTCCTATAGTAATCAGTCTCATAAATGTCTCTGGTCATGCCGAAGTCCCCCACTTTGACCGTGAGGTCCCCGGCGACCATACAGTTGCGCGCCGCTAGGTCGCGATGCACGAATTTTTTGGCCGATAAATAGGCCATACCGTCGGCTATTTCTACAGCCATCTGAAAAAAATAAAAAACTATTACATATTCAATGCAAGTAACGATCTTTAAAGTGGTATGTCACGGAGCTGTTTTTTATATAAAACTAGCTGTACCTGACTGTACAAGTGAAGTCCTCAGACAGTATATCCCTCTATTTATAGGAGACGCTTGCTTTACAATGGTCTCTAATATTTTTGTTGTAAATTTTGGATACTATACAGCACACACTTATCACTATATGGAGGTATCGAAGATTATTGAAGTATTCTACGCACACCGCAAGAACACAATGTGCTACATTACACAAATATTTACGTAGTTTATTTTAGTTTGTATATGCGACACAGGCGTCCGGTGCTCACTCGATTTTAGCGTCCACTGAAAGCCAGCGTCAAACCTTAATCTCGCGTGTGGCATTAATTGAGCGATCCCTTTTACATACGCGACAGCCCACACATGACATTATTCAAAATGTGTTGATTATTTAAAATTTCATGATTATATCGAGTTCTTAGGTTCGGTTCGGTCAGGTTCGCTATTGTTACACATAGGAAATGAAACTATTTTTCCGGATTTAAATCGCGTATATTTGTTTTTTCAAACAAACCGACGTTTCGGGCCCTTTGTTTATTGCCCAATGTTTATTTTTTGTTTTACTTTTGCTTTGCTTTTTTTTTACACTTTCTTTCTGTGTATTTTTGTGTTATGGCATTGCAAAATGGTTTCTTTTATATTCTATTAAAGTATTGTCTTTACAAAATTTTGCGGGTGTGGTCACAACACACGAAACTTTTATGGCTATTCAATAAATAATAATAATGGAATGCAAAAATGAGCAACATACATTGAATATAACGTCATACAACGTATTTTTTTATTGTTTGTACAATCTCAGTGGTTTATGAAAATATAATGAATTGCGCTCATTATTAAATTAATTTTTTTTTTCTGAGAAATTATTAAAGTAAAAGTATGGTCCTTATTAAATATGTAGGTAGACAGTATAGCACCTGTTTAGGAGTCAATTTATCCAATTAACACATTATTAGTACACTACAGTAGTAGTACATTTAATTTTGTTTAAAATACATACGGGACGGTACAGACACACGGTAACTTATTACCTGTAAAATGTTTTGTAATGTAGGCGGATTTGATGTGTTATCCTTTTTCGGCAGCGAAGACTCGCTGTCAGGTCTATGACTGCGCAAATATGTCTTTAGGTCTCCGTTCTCCATCAGCTCCATAACGACAAGTGTGGGCTGGCCACGGGACACCACACCTAGCAGTCGCACCACGTGATGAGTGTCGAACGCCTTCATTACCGAGGCCTCATTTAGGAACTCGATACGCTCCCTGGAAAATAACGGAATTTTATATTTTCCTAAGTACAAACGTTTTTTGTGCTTACTATTTTTATTAGTATCTTCACCCTTTACCGCTAAGTAACTGAGCAGTTAGCAATAGCGCAAATATTCGATTGCTTAAGGTAGAGTTTCGACAACGCGGCAATGACGACAGACGCCGTGACAATACATCAGTATCATTTCGCTATGGTTATATACAAGAGCCTTATAGAGCGCAGCTTCACTGACGCGTATTTCGCAAGGCTACGATTTCGCGAACGATTCGTAAATTGTAGACAAGACATTGAGGACAATGTGTCATTTGTTTCATAAGGACTAGCTTGCGCGTGCAGCCCTTCCTCGAGCTATGATGCACTTTTACCAGAATGTTCAGCAATGTTACCAGAATCTTACATTTTTCGTAAGTTTTGACCTACTCGAGTAATATGTAAGTAACTTTGGTTTTAAGGCAATTTTCGTAACTTTTGACGACTTAAATTCAATATTTATTATTGTAAATCCTAAATAGTTAACGAATAAAAAACTAACCAAAATATATAATAAAGGAATTTGAAAAAAAAAGGAAATCAATCAATTACTGGATATAGCTCATTTCTTCTTGAACTAGCAACTACAGTTGCTTTTTCATTTTTAGGATTAAGGCGTAAGTAAAAAAACGAACTTGTAAAATGTAACTTATGCAGCAAAAATGTAACTTTTCTGGTGACAAAAACGAACTTTCGAAGCAATCGGCCGAGAGATCGCATTTAATTAAAAAAACCATCTGATTCTGGAAATAACCATTTTTACCTGTCAGTGGCATGTTCATTGACAGTTTTCACAGCGCATCGAGTTTCCGCTTTGCCTTTCTCAATTCCCTTTGCGATTCCTTCGTACACCTGAAAAAAAAAAACAATAACTTATACGCTTTCTGTATTCACGAGAATCCTAAACTATTACTACTAGTTTACCCACTTACCATGCCAAAAGATCCCTGTCCAAGTTCCCTGATTAACTCGATATTCGCTCGCGGCACTTCCCATTCGTCTGGTACGTACACAGTCGAGACGTATTCGGGGTTAACGGTAGCAAACAGTTTGTTGGCTTCGGCCGGTTGCAGGAACCCTCGCTTGGCGTACCAGATGCCGATGGCCAGTATCATGGTAAGAATAATGCAACCACCCACTACTCCCCAAACCCATTCATGGCCTGCTGTTTTTTCCTGGAAAACCATAACGTTTTCGTGTATTAATTTAAACCTGTTACTGTGTTTTTCAATTGTAATTAATCACTATGTAAATATAATATATAGCGAGGTTACTCCTTTATAAATTGCTTTATAACATGATGATGTCTAAAAAGATATAATAATATACAGACAGTGTGGCACATAGTAACATGTAAATTTTTCAAATATTTTTTTAACGGAGACGCGGGGACGGGTGAGAGGGGGAGTGAATGGCATCGAGATATAGATGTGTTTGCGCCATTTTTGTCGCCATGAAATAGTTACTGGAGGATAAAGCGCCTCTTGTTCGCGCTTTTACAAAAATAGTCGCTCTTACATCATTGTCCGAAGTTTATTCCGAATATGATTTCAACAGCAACAAACACTATCCTAGTGTGAATTTGATAAAATATTGGTAAAACAAATTGGTAAAAAGAGATAGCTTCCACATACAAACCACGAGAAAAGGCCGTAAACTAACCTCTCTCTCGTACAAACGAATGCGTAGAAGAAGTAAAGAGATCGGTAAACGTTCGGCTGTGTTGGGATTGTCTCGAATTTCGTTACAACGAATTTTATAACTCTATTTAAAGTTTCACTGGATGAAGCGCTTTTTCATGTAAATGGTTTGTCAACAAACAGAATTGTCGATATTGGAGTGATGTGAACCCTCGTCCAAAACATTAAAAATCTCTTCATTCCACGAAAGTCACTGTTTGGCCTGCCATAGCAAGTTGGGGAATTATAGGACCTCATATTTTTGAAAACTTGTGAGAATGTCAGGTTAAAGCTGTACAATGTTTCAGCAAGTTGGTATACATCAGACGCAGTACAGTATGCAAGCGGTGAAAGAAATGTTCTCTGGAAAGGTTATCTCTCGTAGAGGTGATATCACATGGCTTACTAGGTGTACAGATCTCACACACCAGATTTTTTCTTATGAAGGTATTTAAAAAGCAACGATAACAATCCAAGAACAATAAGCATATTAAAGGAGAACGTCTGTCAGGAAATGAGACTGAACTCACGACAAACATTTCAGCGCGTATTCTAAAACTTAAGAGCTAGATTAGTGGAATGTCGTAGTAGACAATTTGATTTTTAAATAATAATATGGAAATTGTTCATGTAATATTTAAAAATAAATTACAATAAACAATAGTAAGATTCGAATTTTGTTTGATTTTTAAAGCACGTTGCTATGGGTCACCCTGATTTAAGGGTTTGATGATAATATAAATTTTACTTTATGACTAGTACGTAAACGGTAAATGCAACCGTAAAGAGTAAAAATACTAGACACAGATCCCTGTGACCACATTTTACTGCGAAGAACGAAAAATAACATTTTACTACGAAATTAAATTAAATAGCATACCTCGATGTAAAAGAACGCCTTCGTCGAACTGTTGCCTGCCCCGTGCACAGTGATGGGACTGACGCCAACGCTGTAATTGCCGGGTAGGACGTTCTGCAGCACTGTACGGCATGTTTGATTGCGGCACTCGGATGCCGCTACGCATATTTGGAGACGTACGTATTGGGTCTAAGAAGAAATAAAAAGTATTAGCTAAATGAGGTAAATACAAATTATCATTGTAACTAGACACTTTTACTCGCAAAATGGCTGTCGAGGTGTGTTGTTTGTTAATGTTTGCTTGAAATTTTGTTGGAACACTTTTGTAATTGAAAATTCCGTAATAAAGTATTTATAGAAAAACTATTAATTACTCATGTACAAATTTCATCATTCGAAAACTCTATTTTTAGATATAATTCAAATCCCCGGGCAAAAAGTAGTACTGGTGGACCGCGGAGATTGGGGACCTCCGCACCGCCAGTACAGCAGCCCGGCGGGCCTAGGGCCGATGCCATCGCAGGCGCCACACCTGGAGTGAGGAGAGAAGGCTCCACAGCGCCCTTCAGGGCGCGAGTCAGGCCCTGAAGGTCGCGATAGGGCGGGTCAAGGACTCTGCGAAAGAGGAGTTCTTGGCCACACTGGACGCGGACCCATGGGGGAGGCCGAACAAAGTTGTGCGCAACAAACTGTACGGCTCATCTCCCATGGAGTCACTGGAGCTCGATCTCCTTAACCGGGTGGTGGAGGGCCTCTTCCCCGAATTGCAGCCCTTCACCCCACCGACTATGGTGCCCTCCAGAGCAGACGGGGGGCAGACTGAGGAATCCCCCCCCGGAAATCACCGTGGGGGAGTTGGAGTGGGCGGTGAGACGGCTGCGGGGGCGGAAGAAGGCCCCTGGCCCGGACTGGGTACCGGGACGAGTCCTTCGCATTGCCCTGAAGCATCTCATGGATGACTGCTTGAGGTCGGGGTTGTTCCCGAGATACTGGAAGGAGGGAAGGCTCGACCTGGTGCCCAAGCCGGGCCGACCTGCGGACTCCCCCTCGGGGTTCAGGCTCCTCGTCATGCTGGACGAGGTGGCGAAGATCCTAGAGCGAATCATCGCCTCCAGGATCAACGAACACCTGAGGGGGACAGTACGGGTTCAGGGATGGACTCTCCACCCTAGACGCCCTGGAGTCGCTGCGACACATCGTGGAGGAGGGTAATGGCGAGGAGGAAGGCGTGGTGGCTGTGTTGTTGGACATAGCCAACGCCTTCGGCACTCTCCCCTTCGCCGTTATCAGGGAGGCGCTGAGGTACCATAAGGTCCCCAGGTACCTCAGCCGTCTGGTAGAGCACTACCTGGAGGACAGGGTGGTGCTCTACCAGACGAGGGAAGGGAGGAGCGGCGAGCGCCCAATGAGGTGCGGAGTACCCCAGGGGTCCGTATTAGGACCACTACTATGGAACCTGGGGTACGATTGGGTGCTGAGGCCAGCGGGCTCTGGACAGGGACTCCGGAGCCTGCATTGCACGGCCTCACTCGTCTGGGGGGCGGGTCGGAGGACAACCGACTCGCCCCTCTGTTGGCGCGGGAGCCCTGGCTAGGGCGGCCGGGCGGCGTCGTGGTGAATGTTCACCGATCCCACGGCACCGACTCAACCGACGAGAGGGAAACCCGGGAGGGGTTTTAGTAGGCGTTTAGTTAGGCGTAGGCCCTCCAGTCTGGAGGGAGAGTCCCCACATAACCCCTGAGTCTCCCTGGGCTCAGGGGTATCCATAAAGATTTCCCCCGTCAAAAAAAAAGGTATTTCTTGTTTTGCCACGGCTTACTTAAGGTAATTTTCACGCTTCGCTACTGATACTATCGTCACTTTAAATCAATCTTTCTGTTACTAAGAATGTTATACTGAAACGTGCTGAGTTATTACTATTTAAATGGCAGATATTTATTTCATTAGACGGACATGAAAGGTGCAAACCTGAGCGCCGTCCTCGATGGGTGAATAGTGCACTTTGTAGGCAACAACAAATCCATTGGGGTTGAGAGGCGGCGACCACGTCACGTTAACCTCGGGCAATGTGCGGTTTGAAGGAATTATCGTTGCACGCACGTCGCGAACTACGTCTGCGTTCACTGTACCACGAAATGAAATACTTTAAATCAATTAACGTCACCAAACTAATTCTCTGTATTTGAAATATTAAATTATGGTCCTACATGTTATACTCATCACAATTTTGACGACTTGGTAGCGGAAGGTTTACTTAGCATTGTAAGCGCTACATGGGAAGTCACGGATTCGGTTCCAGAAAAAACTAATTTGGGAAACTAACGTTTTTAAATCGGTTCCAATCTGGGTGTTCTGGGTAGAGCCCCAAAGTGAATTGAAATGAAAAAAATGAAAAAAGTACTCATTGTACAGGGAAAGTGATATTAAGTAATTGTTTTTGTCTAGCATCGCTCTAAGCTCTTATGAATACGAACTACGAACCACCACTTAGGATGTACCACTTTAAAAAATCGGTAGTAATATAAAAATTGCACCCAAATTACTCACATAGCTCTTGCGTCCGGAAAGTGTTGTAAGCGCGGTCAGAACACCAGGCGTCGGCATAATCAGCATCAGATTCGTTGGCCTGCTTAGCTCGACACGCCCACACGTTCACCGTATACCAAGTGAAATGCCGCATATGGTCCACCTTTAATGACTCCGTATTCTTGTCCAGCACGTAGTACAGCGACTTCACGTACCCTGTAGAACGAATGTTACGTGCCTTACCCAGCCCGCATAACAACTTCTATAGTGCAGACACTACGGTTATACATATTTTAATTTGAAAGGTGTAGTGTACATATCTTTTAGTTTAAGAACTGGACAAAAAAGTCTTTCATTAAAAGATGCGTAGCGAAAACGATTACATCATTGAAGTAAGTTCTTTCTTTGTAGTTGATACCTATTGACACCATTCTGATGCTAAGCGATGTGGAATATCTTTTCGTGTTGAATTTAACTTTGAATAGAATCAAATTCTGTCATAGTGTGAACGTAACGCAATGATCGGCCTGCTTTATTAGTACATTTTACTCGTATATAAAGGAATCGGAAACCAAACGTGTGGTTAATGTTTTTAAAAATATGACGGCATATATGTAGTATGGTATAACGGGTTGATTTTCGTAACTCTACGTGGTAGCGTCTATTTTGCACGCTTGAAAATAAGTCGGTCAACAGGTAAGTTACATGTTACGACAATATATAATTACAGGTGTAAGTTATATTTGTTTTATGATATCATTATTGGAGCTTAACTTCCGCCATTACATGTGGCGCATTTTATTAAAAAAAGGCAGCGTATTTTACTCTTAGAGTCAGTTCTGAATTATTATTTGTAGAATATACTTCGTTTAAAATTCCGACGTTAACTACATTTCCCTGTGGATTGACATATGAATGGCGTCTTTCACGAGAACCTTTCGTCGTGCAGTGTAATTAAATAACCAAATTAATGTAAAGGCATCTTTGTACTAAATATAGTGTACTATCAGCAATGTCGAAGCATTACCACCTTAAGGGTTCTTTTTGTGTGCAGGCAATGGCGGCCTGAAGCGGCCACCTGTAGCTTAATTATTCATGTCAAACAATGACGTTTAGCGACTAGCCTCGATAATATTTTTGTTACAAACAAAAGCTTTTCACAAAAACGGGTCACCAAAATAAGTGGCGGGGCTAGTAAAGTCGCACAAAGACGGCGTGGTGATTTTGATTATTTTAGAGTTCTAAAACGTCCGCTTCAACTATTATCGCTGCCGAGCTATGGTACAGCACAGTTATTTAGTATTCACATCACTCAGACCACTAGCAATTGCGCGCAGGCATAAGTGTACAATAAATTTATTCTAAGGGTATACACCAAGTGAATCATCCGTATCTTCTTCAATCAAGCTGAAGCGCGATTCATTAAAAATTATAATGAATTGTGCCTCCATTATAATAGGTTATCGAAATGTACGTCTCTCATCGGATAGGAATCCGGATTAACTTCTTTTTTTTCTTCCCAAGAACTTTTCTCCTGTCTTCTGCCGTAAATGTGTTGCAGGCTTTCTTTTTGTTTATCTTTTATTACTTTGTTCTTTTAAATTCGTAGTTCTTTGCTTCTAAAAAATGATACTTTAAGATAGATTTTCCGTTTACTTAAAAATATCCGTCAAGATTTTTTTCAACTACATTATCATTTACTTTTTACTCCATTTTAGCAGACATTTTTGCTAACGTCGAGTAGAACTAGATGTTCAATTTCAATGATAAATGACCCTGTCGTTTGCGGAACCAGACTAAGTTAAAAAAAAGCGCCATAGAACTTAAAGAACAAAATATTGACGTTTCACAAATACAAACTACATTAATCAATGACCATTCAAATACAGAAATATTTTATGTTTCATTAATAGTATTTTATCGAAATAAATCCACGTCTGTGTTCCTAGAGGAAATAGATAATTTATTTGGTTGTCTATTTTGTCAAATTATTATTAAGTTACGTTCCAACGTCATTCCTAGCTGTCAAAATCACAATGTTATCTTGGTTCCACTGTACAATCACCGCTTGCAAACAAAACTGTCCTGGGAGTGGCAAGTCTTCAACTTTGCTGTTAGTACATTTCAATACTACAAGTGATAAAAAAGACGATATAAATATTCGTATAAAATATGGTGACATTGAACAAAAATAATCATCTACTTTTAATATTTGAATAATACAGCATGCTTTTAAAAAATCCGTCAGACGAGGTAACAGGCTTTAATTGAACTTAATATGGAACTATAATCAAAATACTCTACAAAACATGCCAATTATTTTCTACATTTTTACTCGTGCTCGATTCTGTTCGTCTGACAATTAATATGAAAATATAAATTTTTTTATCGATTATTTGTTTCTCGATAATTGATATACTGCATGCAGCAACCAAAGACCCGTGTGAAAACAAAATACTCTCGTTGTAAACAAATTTTATAACCTGTACTATTGTCCTTTACGACGCATACGTTAGGCTCGATGCGACTGCACTTCACTGAAATGAGAATGTTGTATGGCCGTGATGAGGGGTGTGCGACAAGCATGAATAGGACACTTGACCGATGAATTAAAAAACATACAATAAAAATCCAAAAAATAAAAGTTTTTAACAAAGGGGCTTCTTCTTTTACTATCATCACTGGATTCCCTTGCCAATAGTAAACAGGTCACTTTAGTGATATTTTAATTTGGTGTTTGTTAAATTAATTGCATCGCAGCACAAAAAAACTGTGGTAATATTTTTTTGTCATATGTAGACTTCACGCCATTTTCCCGTTGGGGTAGAGAAAGACTTGTTATGAGCCTGACATACATCTATCGTCCGTTAAGGTACTTTTGACCTAGTGTTTAAGGCATCCTCAATTGTCCGTGGTAAGATTGTCTTGGTGGGCTCTTACCAACTTGCCCGCTCATACTCGCCTCATTAACCTGTCTCGTTAATCTTCTTTCATTCACAATCTTGTCACTTCAATAAAATACCTGACATTGTTTTCAAAAACTTCCTTTTTTTTTATTTTTGTAAGCAGTGGTGAAATTAGAGGAGACTTATCAATCTATGTCTCAGGGTGACGGACTCAGTGACAGTGCTTCTCAGAACTTTGTGTTTTAAAACGTTGAGTGGCACCGCATCTGGTATGGACAGGCGTGTTGCTTATCATCAGGCGCACGACTTGTTCGTACTGTCACTTAATATCATAAAAAAAAGTCAAGTGCCCTAAGGAATGATGAAAATTAAAAGCATAGAGAAGGTGGCTTATAGGCGACACAAACATGTACAGTACAAGTGTTTTAGAAATAATGATGATATTTAGTACTTTTTAATTTATATTAATTAGAAAGTAACGCACCTCCTTCCGTAGAGTTGGTATAGTTCATGCCGAGAATAGGTTTGTTGTTGCGACTCAATATCACCAGGGTACTCAGGCTTTCATCTTCGATGGATCGTCGCGTTCGAACGCGACGGGCTGGATGTGTTTTGTTCTTTTCAGTTTTCACGTAAACCTAGAAGAGATTAAGTGACCGTTGCATAAACGTAAAGAACTACATATACTAACTACAACGAACTACACTAGGTCGCTTAATAAATAACTCACTCACCATATACGGTATTTGTTAACTTTACAGGCTTGTGCTAGGGTCAAAACTATTACTTGAAAAATTTTGCAAAATTATTATTGATACTTTTGATCCGACTGGACTATATATGTTGATTTGCATTCTCGCCATATTTACAGAGATCATTCTGTATCCGAAACTGAACCCAAATCACTAAAAAAATAAATCGAAAAAAAAATCGTATTCTATCGTAGTATTAAATTTAGGTAATCTGGGAAACAATAAAATATCATTTTTAATAGTATTACGTATTAATAGTACCTATTACGGTTACACTTTACGAATACTAAACGAACGAATAAACTTGAATTAGAATCACTTTTGACTGCGAAGTCAAAAGTAACTTCAAAAGGGTTAACTCCCAATGTTATGGGCAAATGAAAATTGATTTACTGGCAATATTGATGTTAAAAATAAATTTATTTCATTTTTAGTTTTAGTTACGACAATCAAAAGCAAACTTACCTGCGGAAATTAACCTCAGTAGTTTTATGATCAGTTTCGAACCGAGAATTGCAAATTTTAATTACATATTTCACCGTTTTTGATACTTTTTTGTCACGTCTCGGTGACGTTGTACTCACTCGAATTCAAGATGGTGACTAATGTCACTGTTGCCTGTGGCAACAGTACCATGGGGCCGTTTGGAGGCGCAGATTGCGCATATATTATTTACAAGTATAATATCATTGGGTAGATCAGTCGACCTTGCTTCCCGTACTGCGTCTACGTCACACATACATTCTATTCTAGTCTGTCACGAAATGCCACGTGGTTTGGTATGGAAACAAGAGAGTTAGTAGTGCAAAGAAGAACCGCTACCAGGTTCACCAGGACCTGCATGGTAATCCATCAAGTACAAGTATGTCTCTATTCTTATGACAAATGTTTAGTTTACGCAGACGATACGAGTGTAGAAGTTTCTGTTTTCAAAGTTGTGGAGTCTAATGTTGAAACGAAACTCACGTGCGAATCCCTGCATCGCTGGTGGTGGCTCCGGTACGGAGTCAGCCACTGTAGACCTAGGTACTTCTAGCAATACTTGCATGTAACTTAAAGTTGGTAAGTACCAAGAGTAAGTTACAAAAAAACATTTTTCAGTCTACATTTCTAACTAATGTAAATAAATAGTAAATTATAACAATACTCTAGTACAATCATAATTTAAAAAAAATGGTAAATAAGCCATCGAGAAAGGTTACGTATCGTTCGGTGAAGGTTGATTGATCGCTTGAGACAATTTTGCAAAACTTTACTAGATACAATTAGCCAGAATATTGATCGGAATATTTTTTTATACTTTTAGGTGATTTAGTATTATTTCTATTATTAATTTCTTAAATGTGGCGAGAATGCAAATCAACATACTGTATTACTATTTAGTGGAGTATTTTCACAAAAAATATATGAATATCTTGACAGTAAAAACATCACGAAATTCAATAAAATAAACATTGAAATTCAATATAGGGACATCACTTCACAGTCTCTAAGGTACCTGTCTGGCTGAAGAAACTTTCATAAGTACCCCACAGGTGGCGCTATGGCAAAATAGCCGTTTAAATCCAATATAAAAATCTGCAGCAAGCGCATGACAAATTCGTAAGATCTGCTGACTCGAACAATTGGTAAGAGCGGTAGCCACGGTGAGGCAACAGATGTTGGTTCGCGTCCAGTCGGACCGAACACATTTTTCATTGTGAACAAACATGTTCGATCTTTGTATCAATAATAATAACAAGTTGTGGAGTATTTTCACAAACAATGTATATATATATTAGTATATTATAAAAATATAGAATATCATGGTAGTAAAAACATTACGATATTCAATAAAATAAATATTGCAAAAAGTGCAAACATTTTTTGGCTTTCCCGAAAAGAAAATATTCATTTTGAGATTTTTTTAATTGTAATAGTGATGTGGTGGTAGCCCAGTGAGAGCACGGTTGCTTCGCTTCTCAATGTCAACGGTTCGTATCCCTGTAGTATGGTATGTATAATTTTTTACTTACGTACATTTGTTAATGTTTAGGTAGGAACACTTTCAAGGCTCAATTTACATTGCTGCGGAACGGAATGGAAGCGTACGAAAACGAACTTTGTGTCAATTGGCTAAAATACAAACTAAATACGATACGGTAGCTGCGAGAATTTCTAAAACTGCGCGAGTATTATCCGGAAGATTCGCGATCTGTTTTCTGGTACGTATCTAGTGTGCACGGTAAGCTATTTAAAAAATTCGCTTCCATTCGCAGCAAATTTCGTTCCGCGTCAATGTAAATTGAGCCTAATGGTAAAAGCAAACATTATGATGAAACACGTATTTCGAAGACTGTTCACAATTCTTGGGAAATATATAAGCCCTCCGACCCGCATTAGGCCAGCGTGGCGGACTATGGTTTAAAACTAGGGTTCGATATGTAACTGTCAAGATATTTATTTTCTTTGATATTTATATATCCGACAAATTAGCCATGGAGGTTCAGTTTTGACTCGTTAATTTTTTACTAAAAATTACAAACAGTAAGAAAATTTTGACGACCTCGGAGGCGCGGTGTAATGGTTTGCATTATATACGGTCCCGGGTGTTCTGGGGAGCCTCAGGGTGAATTCTGTTGCTCATAGTACAGGAAATTGTCTAGATTGAGACCAGGCAATTGGTGTGGTTGTTTGGCACATTATTATTAAATAAATAAACACGAAGAAAAATCTTTGGGAAAACCCATTTACTTTGTGACTTTTTTGAGATTGACATATTACACGTTTGGATACATCTCTAATATAAACACATGCCAAGACATTGAAAGCGGCAGCGTTTCGTTGTTCCAATTAATTTTATAAATATCAAGATAATTTATCAAGTTATATTTATAATGACAAATATCACGATCACTATCGCTTCAAACCCAGGCCTAAATACATTTAATGGGTTTATGACGATGAATAGAGACGTACCTGGTTCTGCAGTGCATTTTCAAATTGAATGCTTTCCCACCGCTCCTCTTCCGCCTTAGAAGTGAACTTGGTGCCACCAGAATTCTTAGTGCAGTCGCACGTGTCGTTCTTAACCTCTTTAGGCTTTTCTTCTTGCTTCTCGGGCGATTTCTCGCCGCGGACTGCGATCAGGTTCGCTAGGGCGTTTGCTGTGGATTTAATTTTACTTAGGTTACGATACACGCAAGCGAGGCGACTTTTTCAATGAAAACATAATTTACTGGAACAAGCAATAGACACAAAATTGTTTCAATTATATCTTGTACGAAACAAAGACTTTTCCCAAGTAACGTGTCACGCTTCGTATTAAAAGGTATTTGAAAAGTGTTGCGTGTATTAGTGTCAGCTGGCAATAGAAAAAGATCACGATCTGCGGGATAGAGAAACGTAATGAAAAAAAAAAGAATAATCAAGTATACTTACGATTGTCGCAGAAGTTAGTTTTGCTAGTGATGATGGTGTCGCGATTATACGTGTTGGCCTGTATCTCGACATAGTAACGCGTAATAGTCCCATTAGGCATAGCTGGCGGCTGCCATTGGATATACACTGAATGCGGCCCTTGCGGTTCCACTGTTAGCGACTGCGGCGGACTTGGTCCTATAAAAATACCAATTTAAACATGCCTTAAATTGTCTACAAAATATTTAAGTAAATACAAATCGACTCATCCGAAGAACAGAGTCCGATATGATTATATAGCGAAAAGAGAGTAAGTACGTTCAAGAATAGTTTCGTTATTCAAACTAGGGCCTATGTAAAGATATTTTGACAATTTATATACCTTATTTCGTTTCGAAAATATAAAATCGAATAACGGTCGATGTCGAATTAAATCTCAGAGTAAACAGTATAATATACGTGATTTTTGTTATTTATTATGTTAAATTGAGCAAACGTCAAAATAATTCTTAACTTACGTCCAGGTAGAGTAGTAAAGTAAATAATAGGGCTTTGCGCGCCTTTCTTGTCCTGAACTGTGGTATATGTCTTGACGTAGGCCGCATAGCGCGTGTCTGGTGTAAGTTGGGTAACAGGGTGAAAAGCTGGTTGCAGATTCTTGCAAGGGTTCTGTAGAGAGTCAATCGTTTGACTAATGTCCGGGTCCATAGTAGAGTTGCTGCGACGCAAATCTTCTACCGTCACATCAAGGATGTTCCATCTGAGGAAATGTTAATGTACATATATTTAAATTATCGACAAAAAAAATATAAAATATAATAAATACAAGTTAAATTTACATTTCATGTGAACTTGTCAAATATAGTATTCTATATATCACATCAAACTAATGTATAAGTTTAAAAAACACTGCCTCATGACGGTGCTCTTGACAAGCCCACCGGTGGCAAAATTAATGCCATCACATACCCAACACGTTTCATCATTTTTTACGGTTTGAAAGCAAAGTCTGTATTTTTTTGGAGGAGTCAATGTAAAAATACTAACGAATCTGAACAAGCATCTCTTTGTCCGTAGTGAGTAACATTATTGTTAGCGACAGTGTAGTAGATGGAGTAGCCCAGGAGCTTGCGCGCGTCGGGCAAGCAGTACGAATTCCACGTCAGTATTACCAGGTTCTTCAATAGCATGTGCACCTTCAGGTTAAGTACATCGTGGTAGCCTGTGTAAAAGAACAACAAATGTATTAAACAATTTTTTTCTAAACGACTAAATGGCTACAGTCATACGTTAGGGTATCAATTCATACAAATGAACTTTAGTACATATTTAAAACATAGACGGCGACACTTGGATAAAATAAAAACTATAAATTGTTGAGTCGCGAAATCTTAAAGTATGTAATACCAAATAAGAAGTATAATATATAAAAAATAGATGCAAAATCATTCCGACAAAATTTTAGGAATGTTTAATTAAATTTTATTTGCAATCATGATAGTTGCTGAAAACAATAAACTGACGTTGAAAAGATAATAAATTAAATGGTATACTTTTTTATTTGTTAGTTTGAAATAAATTGTATAGATGGCATTTCTTTGAATTTGTTCATAACTAAGTAACGTTTTAGCGCTAGCCCACTTTAAAATATTAAAAGTGCAGAATCAGCTTCTTTACGATTTTATTATATGTTATTGTATATATAATCAAGGCCTGAACAAGAGCAATTAACCTTGACTTGGCATTTTCGAATATTATTACATTCGCGGCTTTACTCTGTGCTATCTATTGATCAGCGTTATGAATCAAAATAAGCGTCCGCATAAGTAAAGTTACGAGTGCGACATTACTTTGTATGACATTGGGTATCGGTAGTAGTATAGTATTATATTATCTGTGGTAGTAATAATTTCCTTGTAGTTTTAAAAAAAAATAATTATAACAGTGTCTACGGCTTCGACAATAAAAAGTAAACTAAAACTATCGTTATGAAGCAACTTACACAATTTAAATAACAAAGCTGAATATAATGTGCAGTTCCGGTAACTGAGAAAAGAAAGCGGATGAAATAGCATTGAAAAGCGATAAACACTTACACGATGCCTGGTCACCGTTGTTCTCCTCTGACACTTCAATGTCGGTGAAATTCCTTTTCATTATCCTTTTTAGCGGTTCTATCCTCTGGTAACATAGTTTTGGGTTGAAATGTATGTGCACTCGATCTAGTTCTATACTAAAGTTCTTGCTTATTTTATCCCAGTCCCAAAGTAACTCGAGATTCGCATTGTTGAATATATGAAGACTTTGAGCCCTGAAATAAAATATATTTTCTCATTAAACCATTAGCTGTGGCTTATAATATGGCATGTTAAGGACGTACGACCTTACACCGATATGACAATTGTAGTGTTACTGAACTCTCAACTTAATGCCTAATGATATGGATCTTTTGTGCTTTGAGTAAACTCACTACAGTCTGTCTTTTTTGTAAATTAACAGTTAATTGAGCAAGTGTTCCTCGCTTGCAAGCAGTTTAGTAGCTGTATATCTCCTTGTGAAACATTTCGTCCAAGGAAGTACTGCCACCTTTTATATATTATCAACGGGGCGAACAAGTCGTGCGTCCCGTGTGCCTGTAACTTCACCAGCACCCTTACCTTTCCACACCGGAACGCAGTAATGCTAACATTACTGCTTGGCCGCATAAATAGTCATGGTTGTGTGAACATTACTGCGTTTCAGTTTCGAAGGGTATAGGTACATGGGACTTGTCAACTTATGTCTCAGGGTGACAGGCGCAGTGGCAGTGCCTCTCAGATCTTTGCGACTTAAAGCTCTGAATTTAAAGCGCTGCAACTGTTATGGACAGGCGTGTAGCTTACAATAATTCGCACGACTTGTTCGTCCCGTCACTTGATAATATAAAAAAAAACTATCGACGACAACACATGACTATTTAATATTTTATGAAAACAGGCAACCCGGCAAATGTCATTTTCTCCGTCTTCAAAAAAGACAAGACTAGACTAGCATTATTTATTTTACATAGCATTGTTATGAAAATATTTAAGTTAATATAGAAATAGGCAGATAGGATATTATATGTAGGAGTCTCTCACAATCTTCATGCTCTATAGCATGAAGATTTATAAGAGCTCTAACCCCTTCATGGACAGTACTGAAATAATACCGCACACCAAAAGTCACTATTTTTCTTCATGTCCTAGACCGGACCATATTGACTCAACATAATTATTACGCTTTATCACTGACGGCTGATCCCGTCGACATTCAAAGCAGCACTGTAAACAGTTCTTGCAAAATGTTTCTTGTGCATAAGTAAGTACGGCTATGACAGTATTACAGTAATTTTATTTAATTTATTTCAGCAAAAAAAGCCTAAATGTATTACATTAAAATGGCATATACCGTAAAATAGCGCAACCCTTGCAGTATAAGAAGACAAATAAAAGTTATTACGTACTAACAATTCCAAAAGAAACAATTACTAACTAGATAATATTTAAGCAGCGATGAAGGTTATTTATTTACCATTTCAATAATTAAATCACAGTTTCGAAAGTAGTAAGAGAGGTATTCATCAAATTTAAATGAAAATTAAGTAATTCATTTCACCTAGATGGCAGAAAATACCTACCTAACTACCCTGCTTTTAAGTGTGAAAACACGTTTCATTATTATTTATTATAGAATAGGGTTTCATCAGTACACATTATTGGTTTATTGAATTACTAAAAAACTATGCATTTAGAAAAAAAAATTGAGGGATTTTTTACTGTCAGAAAGTTCCAGCGCGAAAACAAACTACACAACCACAAAAGGCAGTCGCTGGCCACGCACTTATGGTTTTACATAGAGGTGGGCGTTTAAACGAAAAGCACTTAAAAAAGTCTGCTTTTTAAAATAAGCGCATAAGCACGCTTTTCATTTTAAGCGTAAGCGTTGGTGTCACTGGTCAGTTCTATATGTACTCAACAATTTCATTTTTCACAACGTACCTAAGTTTCAAGTAGCGCCATCTATGTTTTCTAAACAAATTAATTCAATATAACGTTGCAAGCTTTTTTAAACATAAAGTTTATGCGATTAAACGTTTTTCTAAACGACTTTTTAAGCGTCAATCTAAAAAGCGTTTAAGTGAAAAGCGCTTTTAAAAGCACGCTTTTTAAACGTACGTTTTAACGTCAAAAAAATAAGCAGTTTTTTTCCATTTCAACGGTTAACAACTACACAAGTTAAACAACTTATGTTTTTGAACGCTTTTAAACGCCAATGAACAAAATGTTAATATATTAAAGTTACGTCATAAATAATAATATAACACTTTTTTTAGAAAACACTTACTTATCTTAAAACCGTTAGTGGTCTACTCTTGCGTTTCGCTATCAACACAACGTTGCAAGCTTTTTTTTAACATAAAAGTCTATGCGCTCAAACGTTTTCTAAACGATTTTTTTAGCTTCAAACTCAAAAATCGTTTAAAAAAGCACGCTTTTTTTAAAAAAAGCATAACGTTTAAACGTTCAAAAAAATAAGCAGTTTTTCCCATCTCTGGTCTTAGATCACCTCATACAAACACGTCGGTATTCACCGTACTGTCTTGGTGTGCACATATTAAATATGTGTGTGTAACGTCCACAAATGTATCTCAAATAAATCATTCAATTTTGTCAGTACATTGTTGATACTTTTCTATGGAGAAGCAGTAGGCGGCAACTAAAAAGAAAGCACTTGGAATTCGCACGGTAAAGCCCGTAGTAGTTTTTATAAGATCCATATTTTTCATTTTACGGTATACGCCGTTACTGTCCATGAAGGGGTTAAGAGCCCCGAAATTTTGGGAAAATAAAAACAAATCATACCCTAGTAAAAAACTTGAAATTGCTGATAATCACCGTTAACGATAGTTCTTAATAGTTGGTAAAGAAAAATATAAATAAAGTAGTATTATGCTAAAAATAATCTAGGATGATCGCTGTGACAGTTCATAAAATTCTACAAAATAAAACCTTGTAATAGCATGCACTAATTTACGTTTTTCATAAATTATTTTTGTAAGCCTCGCTTTTAAATGAATAGCTTTTGTTTAATACATTAAACTAAAGCGAAAATAACACCAAATCAATGTTTATTTGTGTGAAATCGCTTTGAAATGAATAGCTTTTGCTTAATACATTCAACTAAAGTGAAAATAACACCAAACCAATGTTTATTTGTGAGAAATGAAAAAATTTTCAAAAATTAATTATTTTTTACGACAACGTGCAAAGATGAAATGAAGTAATTATTCTGCATTTGCTAGAGATGAGAGGTATATCGATAAAAAGTTTTCGATAATTTAATGAAAAAATGTATACCTAGTGCGTGTATTCATTCGTAAATTATGAATTTTAATCATGGGCAATGAATTGACATGTCAGTGTTATCACTTTTTGAAACCTATAAATTAATGATATGTTAATATTTTTGAAATTTTCTAAAATATTAATTAAAATTGCATCTGACCTGTAGTTCAGAAGTTAGTACACAACTATAGTTGTGTATTATATGCATTGACCTACCAACAAATGGACATCGGGTCTAATACAAAAACCACGAAAAAAATGTCCGAACTTAACCTATATAAACGCAGTGGCATGTAACGAAATATAAAAAACTAAAACATTTAATTTAAATTGTAACGTCATTGTAACCTAATTTAGCATGCAACAATTTAAGGGCCCTAAAACACCATTCAGCTTCTACTGGAAACTTAACAAAATGCACCATATTTAGCTTCGACTGAAAATTACGTGAACACAAGAGTAAATTAATTTTTATATATATTATTAAGTCGAATTTTGTACAAATTCACTTAAAGATATAACAAAGAGTTGGGCAGATACATACATACAAATATCACTACAAATGTGAAAATAAGCGTGTACTATAAGAAATGTACCGATATTCCAACTAAACGTAAACTCAAATATCCGTAATTCCGAAAACCGATTCATAATAAAACCGTTACGCTTTCAAGTAATTTTAATGCTTCTCACAAAGCCAAAATTAGCTTTTGTTTTGTAATATTCCTAAAAAAATACATTTGACATTATGAGAATTCGAGCGAACGTTATTTCGGGCAAATGTATTTTCTGACTTCTGATAGGTAATCCCTAGCCGTAAAACGAGTACAACAATGTTTTGTTATTTATTGCTAACGTTTAATAAAAAGTCATTTTAAAAACAAGATTAAAATCAACACGACTCTATAGTTTCTTTGTTCCAAATATTTCAATCGCTTATGGTTCGAACAATTGAAAATGACCAAGAAGTTTATAAAGCTTCTTGAAAATGACGTAATGGGTCTCTTTCCATCTTTTGCGCATGCAAAGTGTAGACAAAAGACAGTCAGCTATTTGATTATTTTGAGTGCTTTTGTAATTTATATTTACGATTCATTTATATATAAATTAAATACTATAAAACTGAACAAAAGAACACTTTTAAATGAGAACTATGATAACACAATATATTTGTTTAGTGAAAATATAATACAAAATCCTGTTTTTACACTTTACTGCAGTAATTTTTACAAGTTATTATTAAATGGTACTGCATGATTAACAACCGCGCTGTCAGTCGAACAAACGAAGACTGTTGCGCGATTGACGCTCTGTATGCGATTTTAACGCCCTACAGGTGCGGACACTTTTTAACGCGAACCCGACGTCCATTTATTCGTAGGTCAATGATTATATGCCATATAATACACAACTATAGTTATAATTCCATAATATAATAATCTATAGTTTAAATGAACACCTAAAATTAAAACTGTGTGATCGCCGCTTGACATTATCAGCGTCTGCATCACATATAATTTTTATTTACAGATTTCTTATGGTAATATATAGGATACAATAATACCATTCAATTTGAAGAGGTCCCGGGTTCGATTCCAGGGCCGAGAGAAATGTTTGTGTAGCTTACATTTATTTCTCTCGTGAATTTGGGTGTAATTTGTGGTTGTCTATGTGTGTGTGTCCATGGCACCCGCGATACAGGGTTTCTCTAGTGCGGGGCTGTGTGTGTGTGCGCATTATTATTATTAGAATACAATATTAACTTACAAACGCAAACAATACATCGAAAGTTATTTATTTACAAAGCATTAAATGTTACTTTTCTACATTTTCACAATCAATGAATTATTTTTATATTACAAAATTCCTATCTTTTGCTAAAATTATGCAGTTCCGCATAAAAATATTTCACAAAAGTGAAACATGATGTTATCTATGGAAATACGTTTACTGACTCACTTATTGTTTTCCTCGTGGTTGGCGTAGATGCGTTCAATATTTTTAAGAAACATCAGCGAGACGAGCGGGTTGGAACGCGTTACTTTTAATCCACCGTGGATTTCACGTATGTCACCCAGTGCCGATTCCAACAGCGCCGTTGTGTTTCCTATATCAAAAACAATGTATCAAAATTATTTGTATATTATACTATTTTCTATATTACTGGTAGTTGAAGACTATAGGGGCCATATATGGGAAAGTAGACCAAACAGAAAAGTAGACGAAATGGGAAATAGACGAATCAGGAAAAACAAGTGGACCGATCGGGAAAGTAGACCAATTGTACCGAAGGGATATAAAAAGAGCAGTGTGAGTATTATAATTCCAACACATATATTTGTACACTCTTGTTTGTTAGTTTCTTCTCTTCTTGCAAAAGTTGCGGTGAGTCCTGAACGCTTACCGTTTCTTATATACAGATTCAATGTAATTCAAATGTAAGGCTACATACCACCACCAGCGCGCAGCGAGATCTCCAAAGAGCCTTTAAGATGCGTGCAGCCGCGAAATGCCTCGATGGAATCGATGGAGTCTATCTTTCCGCCAGGACACTCTCGATTGCATCCCGAAGGCGCGCACGGCTCGCAGCGAGGATTCAGTTTGCCCTCCTTTTGTTTGAAATTTATAGAACGATTAGTATATGAATCTGCCAGACAACACATCGATTACTTAGTCTAAAACTGGGACATTCCAAATACTATGGAGTCCTAGAGCAAATCACTCTGGGGCACATTCCAGTGAACACAGACCAGAACCAACTTAAAAAATTTGGTGAAATAACAGGCACATCAAACTTGTCAACTTATGTCTCAGGCTGACGGTCGCACGGGCAGTAGCCCTCAGATCTTTGTGATTTAAACATAAAGCTCTTGAATGGCATTGCATGCGTTATGGACAGGCGTGTCGCTTAACCACAAGGCGCACGACTTGTTTCGTCTACTCACTTGGTATCATAAAAAGTAAAAAAAAAAAAAGAAAAGTTTACTTCCAAATTGACCCAACCGGGAATCGAACCCGGGATCTCCTCGTCCAGCATCTACAATATAAACCGTCGACCACTGAGATCGTCTAATAAGATGGAAAGATATTTCGTCGAGTCTCTCTCTCTCTCTCTCTTTATACATTTACCTGAGGAGTAAATGTATAAAGAGAGAGAGAGATACCATGTATATAAAATGGTATTTAATAACTTTTTCCAAGGCAAACTATAATTATGCGGATTTTGTCAGGAAATCTTAACAGGCATTTATTTCTCACATGGTAGATATATTTGACATCTACATTTCACCCGAAATAAGCATAAAAGCGCTGTAGAGGTCTTTACAGTCAATATGTTTGTACTTATCTATCGAGAACTGTTATAAATATACAGGCTGTATATTTGAAAGTGGGACATACTTATAGAGTGCATTATATTCCTGATTCTGAACCCAAAGAAATAATAAAGTAATGAACTTAAACTTTACAAAAAATATCTTTTTAATATTTTTTTATCGACTACTTCATGAGAAAAACATTAGTATCGAAATCTATGCACATCACTATTATTGCTCCGAGCAGCGGCGGGTGGCGACACGGCGGCGAAAAACAAATCACAGGTCGGGGTGGGAGCGCGAGCGGATACGCGAAATTGCTCAGTGCACGCGCGACATTGATCTAACGAAGACACGTAAATTACTTGTACTTCCGCTCGCCCGATCGCCGCAAAATGGATACTTATTCTAACGTCGAATTGACTGAAATGGTGCGACTTTACGCAATAAGTGGTGATAGTGTGAGGCAAGCTATTGAAATGTTCCCAAATCGGAGTTTACGCGGAGGAGGTGAACAGTGTCGAAGTGTTGCGTGAGAGGATTATCTCAGCATTTTATACTGTGAGACAAAATGTGTTTGTGTTGTACAATTTAAAACAAAATTTACTATGCCGTGCTAGACTACGCATTGTGGAAAACGGTGGACATTTTGAACACTTGCTCCGTACCACGTAAGTGTAAATAAACTGTAAATAACTAAAAAATCAATCATTGTAAATAATTTGATTTGATTTTTAACTACGCCAAAAACCTCAATTGTTATTAAATGATAACTAGTTACTTAATCATAAACGTATCTGTTTTAGTGCGTAAAACATTTCGATGATAGTTCAAGTAAAAAATAATTAACATAAGCTAAAACGTAAATGTGAAGTCATTGTTATTGTTGCTGTCTCACTCGGCCCTCGCTTGGTAGTATTCCCATTGCACTCGAAATCAAGCGTAAAGGGCAACGGTTTATTTCTATGTACACTTCAGAACACAATTTGTTGATTTATTTTTTGTTCTATCCCATATCCTAATTTTATTTTAGTCTATGTTAAGTTGTAACATGATTTACTATGACATGTATGAATATGTCTCACTTTCAAATATACAGCCTGTATATACATTATTATAATTAATATCTAAATCAATATCCATGTATATTTAATTGGAAGTAAATTAATTTGCTACACCGCGAACCCAGTTAAGGTTAAATCGTACAAAATAGCTGCGCTTAAGAAAAACAAAAGAATTATTATTCGTTTTTCAATTTGGTACTGAAGATGGCGCCATTGAAACAATATCTATTGTTTCAATTAAGCAGAGTATTAGCATGTTCTTTTTTTTTCAGTGATACGTCTGCCAATAGTAGGCGGGGTTCTGCATACTTGAGCGCAGTCCGCCATTTTCGCTTTGTACGTTACGGTAGTGTCAATTATCTCGCGTAAAACCTCGAAAATCGTAGAAAAATGGCTTATTTTGCTACATTGCGAGTGTAAAAATGATAGTCGCACAGTCGCACTTGTAATATTATCCTTGGCGATGTTCGGTGTCATATAATCGTTAAGTCTTATTTTATATAATTTTAATAAATTTTTAATGTCCTGTTAGCAATATTTTTTTGTTACAAGAAACGAAAGTAAACTTTATATCGCTGCAATGACCATATTGCATTATTATATATATATATTATTTCTTGGGAAAAAAGTAAACATTTCGAATTTTCCACACTACTCGTAGGCGTTGACCGTTCAACTATTGATCGCGATCGAGTATAGACGTGACTATTCTAATGAAAATATTGAAAAGTTTAAATATTGCCTAAAAAGTTTATCTTTTTCGGACATCTACACAATTAACGATCCAAATAAAGCCTATTCTTGTTTTATCTCAGATTTTAAATTATTTTATAACTTATGTTTTCCATTTAGATACATAAAAATTAAAACAAATTGTAATAATAAATGGATATCCAAAGGCATTAAGACCAGCAGTAGAAAAAAAAGGAGTTTGCTATGGAAATATAGAAACATGCCTAATCAACAAAATAAATCTATATATCAAGCATACTCGAAGTTATTTAAAAAAACAATAGAATCTATGAAGCGGTTGTATAACACTCTTAAAATTAATTCTGCTACAAATAAATCAAAGGTTACATGGGAGTTAATAGATACATGTAGGCAAAATGAACCCAGGGAATCAATTACACAAATAAAAGTAAACGACACTATTATTACGAATCCATCACTCGTTGCAAATGCCTTTAACGACTTTTTTATTCACAAGACTCTACCAACTACAAAAAAATCAGCACATAATCAAAAGAATTTCGACAAAATCTGTTTCTCTATGTTTACGGCACCTTGCATACCATATGATATTGTAAAAATTATAAAATCACTTAAAATACTATAAGCGTTGGATATGACGAAATATGTACAAAGGTTTTGAAGTCAGTTGCTGAAGAAATAAAGAATCAATTATGCTATATCCTAAATATGTGTATAAATCAAGGTATCTATCCGGATGACTTAAAAACAGTCATAGTCAAACCACTTTACAAAAAAGATGATAGGGAAGTCATGAAAAACTATAGGCCCATATCATTGTTATCAGTCATATCAAAAATATTTGAAAAATACATAAGTTCACAATTACAAATATTTTTAGAAAAATATAATATATTAGCGTGTGAGCAAAAAGGTTTTCGACCAAAAAAGAATATAAACATGGCTATATATGATTATATGCAGGAAGTTATATCAAGTGTAGATGAAAGTACGCCAGTCTGCTCTATTTTTTGCGACATGACTCAAGCGTTTGATCATGTAGAGCACAAAATACTTTTAGGAAAATTAGAAACCTATGGTATAAGAGGTAATATTCTTAAACTAATTTCATCGTATCTTAATAATCGAAAACAAATCACTGAAATCAGCAACATAAATATCCATACCAAAACCGAATGTGTCCTTAGATCTTGTAGTAAAACAATTATGTACGGCGTTCCGCAAGGTAGCGTCTTGGGCTCATTGCTATTCATTTTGTACATAAATGATCTACCTAAAGTTGTACCGAATCACCACGTTTCTCTCTTTGCCGATGACAGTACAATAACAATTAAGTGTAAAAATAAAATTACTTATGAACAAGACATTAACGAAGCAGTAGAGTCCATTATAACTTGGTTAAAAGAAAATAACCTCAGTATTAATTTTGAAAAAACTAAAGCAATGTATTACAGTCAGCGACAGAATAATAATAACGTCAATGTTAGTTATGACAACATAAGTACAGACCAAGTAACCGAGACTAGATTTTTGGGTGTAATTGTAGACAATAAGTTGACATGGAAAACACATATTCAAAACCTATGTAAAAAATTAAGCATTTCTTCCTATGCCTTATACCGATTGGCTCATATAATTGACATTAACTCATTATTGACGGCTTATTATGATAATATAGTGGCTTCACATTTAAGCTATGGGATTATTTTTTGGGGTAATTCTACAGATCGGGATTTAGTATTTAAAGCACAAAAGAAATGTATAAGAGCTATATTTAGCATTTCTCGCTTGGACAGCTGTTTGCCCTATTTTAAAAAGTATAATATACTAACGGTGCCATCATTGTATATTCTAGAATCAGTATTATTTGTCAAAACAAACCCTAATCTGTTCAACAAACTTGTGGAAGTAAGACGTAGGAATAGAAGAGATAATGATGCAGTACCTATGATGCCACATAAAACTGCATTTATATCAAAAAGTGTGCTCTGTATGCTGCCAAGATTATATAATAGAGTCCCAAAATCTATCCGTGAATTACATGTAAATTTGTTTAAGAAAAAATGTAAGCAGTATTTAATTGATAAATGTTTTTATAATATAAATTATTATATGAATACGAGATGGATTTAGGGCCCAATTATAATTGTTTTTATATCTGGTAACATTACATAAGATTACAGATGTATTTGACTAATTTATGTTATTATTGACTTTCATTCATTTTTGACATGCGCATATTTTATGGAGGCTTAGAAATGTAAATTATGTAAGTTTGACATTAACATGATTTTTCGCTTTATTTTTGACATTGTTAATTTTTACTAATTTTTATTATATTAGGGGTTAAAGTATGAAATTGCCGTTTTATTGCAATAGGTTCTTTGAATTTTCATAGAATCTTCATGGTTTGAGGTTTTCGAATGAAACTTTTTTCAAATGGTTTCTGTGATTTTTTTTTTTTTAAATTTGAAACATTTGAATATCGACTTTCAATTGTTTTTGTTATTCAATTTAGACAAGAAAGATGGATACTGCGAAAATTCGAGTGATTTTTGAATACGAGTTTTTGAAAACAGCCCGCAATATCAATGCTGCGTTTGGAGAGGGGTCTACTAATGAACGCACCGTGCGATTTTGGTTTAAACGCTTTCGTGATGGAAATTTCGACTTAAAGAACGAGCCACGAGGAAGACCGCCCACACAGGTGAATAACGATGAATTAAGAGAGATAGTGGAAGCCGATCCTAGTCAAACTACCCAGGAATTAGCGGCATGGTTTAACGTTACCTTACCCACAATATTGACTCACTTGCGTCAAATCAATAAAATAAAAAAATACGAAAAATGGGTGCCTCATGATTTGACTGATCTGCAGAAAGAAACGCGTGTTGAAACTTGTGTTGCCTTGTTGAACCGGTACAGAAATGAAGGAATATTGGATCGAATTGTAACATGTGATGAAAAGTGGATTCTTTATGATAACCGGAAAAGAAAAATGCAATGGCTGACCCCAGGTCAAATGCCACAACAGTGTCCTAAAGCAAAACTTACCAATAAAAAGGTAATGGTAACTGTTTGGTGGTCTCAGCATGGTGTTATTCACTATAGTTTTCTCCGATCTGGTCAAGCAATAACGGCAGATGTCTATTGTGCCGAACTCCGAACCATGTTGACAAAACTAGCAGTAAAACAGCCCCGACTCATGAATCGATCTTCACCATTATTGCTCCACGACAACGCGAGACCTCACACAGCACGAGAAACCATTTTGACCCTTCAGGAACTGCAGTTAGAAACCATTCGTCATCCTCCGTATTCACCAGACCTTGCTCCAACGGACTACCATTTTTTTCGTGATTTGGACAATTATCTACGTGACAAGAAGTTTTCTTCCCAGGAGGCAGTACAAAATGCTTTCACACAGTTTGTGCAGTCTAGATCGTCAGAGTTCTATCGCAAAGGCATTAATAACCTTCCCATTAGATGGCAGCAATGTATAGATAATAATGGCAACTATTTTGATTAAATAAATTTGTTAAAAATTTAAAAAAAAAACAAAATAGATTTTCAGTACAAATCGGCAATTTCATACTTTAACCCCTATTATTTTTTCTTTACATGTTTACTAGTTTTTGACAGTTTTTAATTATAATATTTTGTACATTATGCGACCACCACTAATTATATTTGTATGTTTCGACGAAACTGGTTGTAGTAGCACTGTTAATGTATTGAACTGATCTGATGAACTTATTGTACCTACTTCCACAAATAAATCGATCTTTATCTTTATCGCTAGGTGGCAGCACATTGATTGAAATTTCAATGTAAAATCACAATGTCGTAACTTGCAATAATAGGTATTGAACTTTCAACAATATGCCAACACGGTAAAATTTCAATTATATTAACAGTCCACAATTTGTTACTTCTTTTTAAATTAGAAACTACGACCAATCATTATCAAGATTTCACAGTGTTTCAAATTATGAATGTGGGAGTTTCTGCGACAGCGGTTCTGATAATAATTGAGGCTGAAAGCACTTCCACTATTTTTTTCTTACGTCAAGTCACTCCCACCTCGACATCGAACTGGGGTACTTATTATTTCTTGAAAATGTTTGTAATTGAAAAATCTATGACAAAATTTAATTGAATAAAATTTGATATGTTAGGATGACAATTAAAATTTTATTCAAAAACTAGATAACCCCACATAAGATACTAAGTGAAATATAATTTATTATCTTCTTAATAAGTATCAGTCATATTTTAGATAGCTGTATAATCCAACTTTGATTTGTATAAAGCATTTTCATTATTAAAAACTACTATTACGGTACTCCGAAACTAATTATACCACGTACCTCCTTATACCCAGTAGGGCACGTCAAAATGCAGGTATTGTTAAAGATCTTGTAAGCGGGCGGATCAGTCTCAGTCTGCGAGGTGGTCGGCGGTGGCAGCTTGCGACATGCTTCCTCTGTTACGCAGCGACGTACCAGCTACAAAAACATTTTCGTTACATTATTCATTAACATTCGTTGCTCAACGTCATTTCCAGTAATTTCTATCATTATAATTGATGTTAGTTTTATTTAGCGTCGCCTGAATGTGCAGGTCTTGAAAATAATAAATAACGATAGATGGTGGTGTAGATCTCCGCTAGACAAATTACAGGCCTAACGCTTAACTGAGTCGGCTTCTGAGGTAGCTGCGCGGTGCGGGAGTAGTGACGTTTACTAACAGTTGTCACGCTGCACACGGGATAACTTCAACAAGATTTTTTTGACGATATTGAATAGCAAGTTGATTGAAAAAAGTACCTACCAAATTAGTAAATTGTTGTTATTTAAAAAAAAGATATAATTATTTCATTGATAATTCAAATGTATAGATAAGTCATCGGGCACTTTATTAAATCAACCTGTTATTTAATATCGTCAGAAAAATTGTGTCCATCGGGAAGGCTGGACCAAACGAGATATACAAATCAAATTGTGCTGATTATTTACTACCTACTTTCTACTATTTAGTACCTTTATTGACCTATTTTCACTATTTTAGGAAGCTTCTATAAAAAGTTATTTAAAAAAAATAAAACGCCTTTGCAAAAGGTATCTTCTAAAAAGACATATCTTCTCCGTGTAATTGCCAACAACGGTTTCTGGATTATCTTTGCAAGCAATATTTTATAACCATTATTATATTAATTACTTGTAATTCACTATTACAAATGTTAATTCCATTTGTAGGAATTAAGGAATGCAAACGAATTATAATCAGTTATTTATAAATCATTTACACGGAGAAGATAAACTGTCTTTTTAGAAGATACCTTTTGCAAAGGCATTTTTTGTTTTAAATAACTTAATAGAAGCTTCATAAAATAGTGAAAAAAGTATGTTTAGGTAGAAATTAGATAGTAAATAGTTATATAAAAAAAAAGTAAATTATATACTGCTAGAACCATGAAAAACGTAAAGTGGTCCAGCCAATTTGACGTCAGAATGGCTGGCCACTTTATTTCTTTAATATTTCCGTTAGCGCAAAGGTAGAAAATAGGTCAATAAAGGTACTAAATAGTAGAAAATAAGTAGTAAATAATGAGCACAGTTTGATTTGTGCATCTCGTTTGGTCCAGGCATCCTGACGGACACGAATAATGTTGTTGAAAATCCCGTGTGGATCGCGACATAACTGTTAGGTAAACTCACTCCTCCCGCTACGCGCGTAGGCTTGTAACAACTTGTCGACAGTCGCAGGAAGTTGTAACTGTTGGTAACGTACGTGTCATGTGAAAATGTTTTAACACAATGTAAAGTTTAAAATAATGTAAAGATTTGGGTTGATCTCACGGTACTCAATACGTTTTATTGTGATCGCTACATAATGTACCTACCTCATAAAAGCCAGAAGGGCAGCTCTTAGTGCAGGTGCGGTTTTTGCCATCGAGGATGGAGAAGTGGCGGCAAACGTGGCAATCGGACGCCTTCTCTCCGTCGCAGCCGCCTAGGCATTCGCGATGGCAGCACGTCACACCATCCGCCATGCAAGGCCGCTTACCGCACGCGAGGGGACACACTGAACAAAGTATACACTCGTTTGCTTTTTGAGTTAAGTAAACTGAAGCTTAGTTCCCAGAAGATTTAAGTCTCAGATTACTTCTTTTTTTTTATCAACTAATAAATATCTTGAAGCCATTCAAATATTTTGATTACATACATCATTACGTGAAGAACATACCAAAAATTTAGAGTACGTAAAGAAAACATTTGAGCAAAAACGAAAATTAAAATACAATGAAAAGTGTAACAAATAAAAAGAAACCTGCATTCCAGGATTGCTTGTTACATAGCCATTGTAAACATTTTTGTCTGAATATCGACAACAATTGAAACACAATCTGCCATTTTGTTTTTTTTTACATAGGCCGTTGATCCCTGTTGCCGTCTACGATGTTCCTATAAGCACCCGCCTCGCCTCACATATCTCTAATAGTTTCATAGAAAACTTTTTAGAATTTTGAGGTACTTTGTAAAGCGGTCAACTTATTTGAATTTCGAACATTTCTCACGTTCGTTAAGAGTGAAGCAAAAGAATAAAGATGTTCTCTTCAGGTGTCATACTTGATCAACAAGGCTTTAAATGTTGACTTTCAGGTCAGGTTAATATATTTTTTCTACTATAACGGGTAGCATATATACTACATTTTTATAAGTCAATGAGAACTTGTAGCGTTATACACTTAGAATAATAACGCATAGAAACCTAGTCCGCACACGCTAAGTGAGGCAAATTGAAGCGCGTCAAAAGGGCCTACACGAGCCTTCAGTGCTCAAGGTCAACTTGCACCGCGAACAGATCAAGAATTTTAGCTAAAAATGACGAAATGTGCGGTAAATGAGTGTAAAAATACATCAGACAAACATAAAATAGATACTAACATCACATTCCACAAGGAAGTAACGCGTTTCAACTTGTATTTTTATACAAATATTCACTAAATCCGAAAATTAACCTACTACTAAAACTAGCCTACATGAATTTGATTTTTGCCTCACTTGTGACAGTTCGTTTGATATGAAACTATCATTCTATGCGTTATTATTCTAAGGTTATACATATAAAAGTTGATCTCTTGTCGAATACAAATTAATTACATAAGTAATATGTTTTAAAGAATCTAGTGCACACGTGTATTCATTCCATGTTTTCTTGCGACCTATGAGGTTCCTACACATGGTCACTTCACATATCCAGTATAAACTCGACTTTCTTACCTTTTTGGCAATGCTTGTCGTCCCAACACAGCTGCCGACCGGACGCATCGGTCTGACATTGGTGGTCGCCCGTGTTCCTGTTCGGACACAGGCCACATAACCGAGTATCGTAGTTTGACTGCAACAAACATTTTATTACAGAGCATGTAGGCAATTAATTAATTACACATTGGTGAATTACATTTCGCAATGGTTATTAACGCAAATGAACAAAATGATTCTGTGTCCAGAAATGGCTAAGCACTCGGGTTTAATTCCTGAAATCGAGGGCAAAAACTATTTACAACAATATGTAAATCGAGTTTTGTTAAAATGTAATGATGATATTATTACAAAATGGTTATTGCTTGCTCACATATTTTGCCTTTCTATTGATACATTTTCGCCTGTAAATCGTATTGAAATAAATCGATACAAAAAGTTGTTACATCGTATACACTTGAACCAATTTTTGCATAGCCATCGAGTTTTTTTTATAATATCAAGTGACGGGACGAACAAGTCACGCGCCTGTCCATAACAGTTGCAGTGCCGATCAGAGCTTTAAATCACAAAGATCTGAGGAGCACTGCCACTGCCGCCCGCCACCATGAGACATAATATGTCATGTCAGGTTCGTCCAAGCAGTAATGTCAGCATTACTGTGTTCTGGGACACCCAGCCATTACTGCTTGGACGAACCTGACATTATTGCTTGGACGAACTCTTTCACAAGGAGCTCTACTGTTACCAAAAATGTGTCCCTAGTATTAAGTGATAGTCCACAGGATTGCAAGGTGGGTATTGTAAGGAGACGTCTTTTTTATAACTAAAAAGGATGTTTATACATCGAAATTCCTAATACGTATGGAATTGTACCAACTTCCGTATTATTTTATGCGTGTAATAGTTTCCGTCCACAATTTTGGGCAGAAATGTATGCGTTTTAATACATTTGGCTTTGGGTAAAACCCCGGTTAAAACCCGAGCGGGTTGATTGGGTTTTAACCCACTGCCCATCTTTGGCTGTCATTTTGATTAGTGCGTATAGTAGGTAGAATTAAGTTAGTAATTACAGTGAGAAAGAACAACTCCATTCACCTCTACAAACCGCGAGCACAACCATGTAATCTTTTTGTAAATAATATCATAAAGCTATTAACAGCAACAGCTGTTATTCATCCAAACAAATAAGCGTTCATAACCACGAATTAGGTGGCAACACATCGCGTAAATAACGTTACTTGTGAAACGGAACTAATATAAAAGAAATCCCACGGTCAGATCCGGGCATAGAACAAGTTTGGTGATGAACAATAAATATATCGGCTGAGAACAGTGATGTCGTTATTGACCACATGGTCGGTCATCAAATACATACTGCCGATCATCGCAATGTATCGTTCATTAAACAAATGTGGAAATGTTTACGCATAGGCGCGAATTAATATGAAAAGGGGTAATAATCTTGCTGCTTTGTCTACAGTTTCGCTTGCATACAACTCTCAGTAGCAGTGGGCAATTAAATGGATGTATGCAAGTTCAGGAAAATTTCAATAATTACGTAAAAAGAAAAAATTACACAGTTGTTAAAATCAGGTGCAGTTCCAGGTGGAACAATCAGCTGATATAGGTTATGTCAATTCTCTAAAGTTTTATAATTTAAATTGCAGATTAATTAGTTATAATAATATATATAAATTCAAATAATTATGTTTTAAATTAATTATTAACATTTGTAATTTGTTTTGTTGTACAATGAAGTGTTTACATAAAGTGGCTATACATACAAACAATTCCCATAGAATTGTTATAATCGTTAAATTTGCAAACAATATTTTTATCCTATATTATTGGCATTGTAGAATGTGTTGTTTCCTAACTATAGAGACGCTTAGTTTTTAACCGACTTCAAAAAAAGGAGGAGGTTCTCAATTCGACTGTATGTTTTTTTTTTGTGTATGTATGTTACGCGATAACTCAGGTATTTGTGAACCGATTTTCATGTTTTTTTTTTGTTGGAAAGAGAGTACCTCCATCGTGGTCCCATTTAATTTTGAAGAAAATCTTCCACCTCTAATGGTGGCTGTTCATGCATGAAGATTCCTTTATATAAATAGCGCCTAAATTTTATTATAAGGAGCAATTATTTTAATGGTGTCAACTATTTGCTATTCTCCAATTCAAGGCGTTTTTCTCTCTCAATATACTTTGAGTAGTGAGAACCAATTTATGTTATCTCCTGTGTCAAGTCCCGTATAGTGGCGAACTAAGGGATGAATCCGTGTTCGCTCACTTTCCGGTAACCGATTTCAATAACACTTGGTAATTATATATATTCCACGTACTTTTGAGGTCGGTTTTTTTAGTACTCTGTACTGAGATTATTAAGTTTAAATGTTGAACTACTTATTGTTTTGTACGTGGAATATTCTAAAGAAATAAATAAAGATAAATTTTAATTAACGTGTCTATGTTAGAGTTTATCTGCATATTGTTATAATAATATGAGAAAATGTTGAGGTCTCGCATCGAGTGTGTGCCGTATCAAAGAACAAGGATATGCACTTTATACTATTACTTTCACGCGATTGCGGATGCAATGCGGCCGAATGCGGCTCGAATGGAATTTATGCTTTTTCTATTTTGAAGGTTACGAGCTTCTACACTCGGTACTGAAATCGCACCTTCACTGAAATGGAGTTGGTTCAGACGTATAGACGCTGAGAGTCGAAATAAAAACAGAAGAAGCAGCTTCTCCTGGAACAATGTCGGTCTATGTTTCTTTTTTCATTAGCTGTTTACTATAGTTGATCTGATTTTGAGCTATGCTGTCACCTTTTTTTACGAAAGATATTTTGTTGTTAGTTGCTGATGGCCTGGACTGCGCCACCGGACAGATGGCGAGCTGAATGCTCTTAACCCGTTTAAACATTTACTTTTTATTTTTACATTTATTTTATTTACTGGGGATTTCCACCAGAACGGCGTGCTGCAGGAGTAAATCTTCGCGAGTACACGCTGGACTGGGGGCTCTTCTTCCTCACCGCGAGGATGGTCATTCCGTGTGGAGTGTGAGTGTGTTGTGATCTGGTTGACGTGTAACGTGGCGAGAGTAATGGGGTCAGAGTAGTTGACAACTTCCCTGAGTCGACGAGACCTACGAGTGAGGTGGGAGTGTTCCCTGAGAGAGACGTAGTTGGAAGCAGCTACCACCAACCACGCGGGGATTGGGGTGGCGAGGAGCAGAGTCAAAGTACGTTTTCGATGCCAGTTTCATGAATTGGGATATTGTGGGAAGACGTAAATCTATGTGGAGGTTAGTGTTGCGCAGGTATCACGGGGCACCCGCCGTGTTGCGCATAAATCTATTTTGGATAGCCTGCAGGCAGTGGATGTAGGCGGGTTTCGCCGTGCGATTACGATGTTGGTGTAAGTCATTATTGACCGGTTGCAAGCTGTGTCCAATCTCGCCTTGTTTCTAAGGAAGAGCTTGCTATGTTCGTTGACGAGGAGTAGTACTCATAACAAAGTAGGTGCGATCCCGGACAGACTTCACGTGAGCTCTAAATGACAGCTCCCTATCTCTCTCAAACGATTGGGCGGTTTAAGAGTAAGATCGGGACGAGGTTTTTCACCTTTTGTTCAGTCACAAACAGGTTGCGTCGCATGAGAATATCGCCGCGCTTTTGTCGGAATTAACTTCGATCTTTCATTTTCGAAACCATTCGCCTAGGCGTGTGGTGGCAGATTGGAGAGCCGTAGAAACTAACTTGGAGCTGTGCGCTAAATACGTGTGGCGCACTATAAGTTTCCGGAATGAATAAGAAAAAAATACTATAAATGGTCAGAAATGTATTTATTGTTTCTCAATATATTCTCCGTTAGCGTTAATGTACTTTTTCATACGAATGAACCACTTTTGAAAACATTTATGTCACTCCTCCGTGACAATCTCTGAAATATATTTTTCATACTTTCCGACAACCTCTTCAGGTGACGAAAATCATTGACCGCGTAACTGGTTCTTAATTTTTGAAAATAAATAAAAGTCACAAGGTGCCAGGTCGGGACTGTACGCAGGATGGCTCATAAAGTCAACGTTGTTCACCTTCAAAAATTCATTTGTCTGTCTGGCCGTGTGAGAACTGGCATTATCGTGGTGCAAGATGATACGTCGTTTACGGTTATTTTTACGGAGTTTGTTAATAACTTCCGGCAAACAAATGGTCGTGTACCAATCACTATTCACGGTACAACGACTCTCCAAAGCAACAGTAGCCACGTGTCCAGATTTATTAAAAAAAGAAGCAATCATCCGCTTAGAGGGACTTTGCACGCGCGCCATTTTGGTTGGTTTCGGCTCATCTCGAAAGACCCATACGCTCGATTGTTGCTTTGTTTTGGGATCGTAACTATAAATCCATGTTTCGTCACCTGTTACTACGTCCCACGCCAAATTTGACGCCCTTTCGTTGAATCTGGTAAGCATAGCATTGCACCAAGTGACGCGATCCGTTTTTTGAGCCTCAGTCAAAATGTGTGGGATCCACCGAGAGCGCAGCTTTTTCACACCCAAATGTTTGTGTAGTATTGATTGTATTTGACTCATGCCTATGCCTAAAGACGCCCGAATGTCATGGTATGTCACATGCCTGTCTGTTTTGATCATACAGCGCATAGGATCGATGTTTTTGTTGTTCACAGCAGTGGACGGGCGACAATCACGAAATTCGTCACTGAGATTCACACGACCGCGTTTGAATTCTGCAAACCAGCTATAAATAGTCGTCTTGCATGGCGCTTCATCGCCAAAAGCATTTTGAAGCCGAAGGAAGCTCCGCGGAGTTGTTAAATTACACTTAAAGTCGTAGAAAATCATACTACGAAAATGTTTACGAGTTCAATCTATGGTGATGTAGACAATCAATTTCTAAAATGACGCCATTATGTAAAAACAAGTGACAGTCAGATGAAACAATCTGTATTCTACAGCCAAAGAGTTCCATTTTCAAATGTTGTAATTACTTTTTAAATATTATTTATGTAAGTGGCCAGTTCCGGAAACTTATAGTGCGCCCTATGTAATAGAGTGCAGTGACGTCGGTAAAGAGGGCAAAGTTTACTGACTGAACTTCGGTATGTCGCTAATGTAGAGGGAGAATAGGAGGTGCGAGAGGAGAAAGCCTTGCGGCACTCCGGCTCTTGGGGTGCCGAGGCCGTATACGATATACGAGGAAGACTTGAGTAATACCTTAACAAGAGCTGCTTCTTGAAAAAGGCCTCAGCAATAATGCCATAACGTGAGCCGCTTCGTAAGGAAGGTTCGAACAATAGTGTAGCGAGCAGTGTTGAGTTACTCATACACGAGGCAACTCGTTTGTACCACTCGCTTGGTTAGTTTGTCACAACACCTCATGTCATAAAAATGTCCCACATCACACCTCACACCTCACCTCATGTCATAGCCTCGTGTCACAGCATCACTCATGTCACACTGTTTCGAATTCGAATGAATGAAAGAGCGCGAGGGTTGAGGTGTTCAGGCGAGGTATATGACAACGAGGAACTCGAGGGAGTGAGTAAGACATAGCTCGTCACTGTGACTTGAGATCACACGAGCTCACGAGCACGATACGAAGTGTACCACAACACAAACTACAAAGTGTCAATGTCACTGTCCTGTTCAGCCTTAACTCTTTCACGAGTCTCACTGCGTTTTTAATTCTATCGAAATTCGCCGGTAAAATTTTGAGTAAAAAACGCGTATATTCCTTTATCTTGGCGTAACATTGGCGAAAACATCGATGGGATCCATGGAGCTAATACATTTTAGACAGGAAATTTTTTTTTCCATCCTTCTAAGTGTCCAGGCAATAGTTTAGTTATTTCGAAAATTATGTTTTGGGACCGATTGCTTTAAAAATCTCTTTGATTTGATTACTTACTTTAAAAAGTTTGAAAAGGTGTTATTTAATTATAAGTATTGATTACGTTTAAATACCTGAGTAATGTTTTCTGATATGTGTACAAAATTATTGTGGTGCACAGCTGCATGTGCAATCTTGTTTTGTGAGTACCAGATACGTAGCGAAACGTGAGAATTTACATAATTACTATTTGTTGTTGTTGCTAGTAAACGTTCATGTACAGTAAGATGTATCAGTTAATTGTTAAAAACATTGCGAAATTGGTCCACAATTAATCAGTCTGTTAAAATATGAGTGTATGAATATACTAGATTCAAAGACTGGAACACAATTTGTACTACTTACAAATATATAATTTACACTATGATGAATATTACATTTTACATTTTATTTTTAACTAAGTATCTATTAGGAATGAAACCTTACCAATATTACTTAGATATGTATTTACATGAAGAATTATTATTTAATGCTATAAACATTTGGAATTTGTTTATTTTCTAGTAATTTATTAATTAATAGTATATAAAATATATAGTATCGGTATTGAGGGATTGCAACAGGGATTAGTCCTGCGCTTTTTAGCTGATTTTACATTATATGATAATACACTACCATAGTACTAAATAAAATTTGCATTTATTTATACTATATCGTAATACTTAAGTTATCCCTATGATGGATACCATCAAATTATGAAAATGTGCTTAATATTCCCTGTCAGTTGAATCGTTGCCGTAATCACCTCATTTGAAGTAGGACATTGTACCACCTCATTTTTTCAAATGAGGTACTCCCTCAAACTCATTTTATGTCCTACCCAACACTAGTAGCGAGAACCGAGTTGTCTTAAGGAAGGCCCGAGCAATACCTAGCAATACTCGCGTTTTCCGCCAGGAAGCCCCGAGAAATACCGTAACGAGAGTCGCTTCGTATAGCCGTCTCTAAGCTAATACCGTGGAGAAACCCGCGGTTTTATTTTGAATCTTTACGTTACATGTATTGTTTTAGAAATAAGATGAGAATTAAAATTTCTTATCTGTACGAAAACGAAAGAACGACAACACAAATATTTGTAATATAAATAATAAGCTACTGTAGATATAACATATTTCTACGTTTATTTACCTATTCATAAGCGGCCGTCTAGTACATATTTTTACGGACGTGTATTTTTATTATAAAGTATACATGACTAATAGAATTTAGGCATTTCTATCTGGGTATGATGAGTCAACTGTTGGACTTCAGGCAAAAGTGGGCTTTTTGTGAAACTCATTTTCTCTTAGTCATACGTTCTTACCTATTGTACATCGTAAAAAAAATGTGAATAATACAAAAATCGCGGTAGTAAATAAAGTATTTTACTGTAAATCTGTTATCACTACAATATGTTGATAGTGAATGCGGAATGTAAGGTAGCTGTCAAAAAACATAAACAACATATCTCGATATTTATTTGTTCAATGTGAATAATGAATATTTGTAGTGGAATGTATCTATATGTATTGCAACATTTTCTTAGAGGCTGGTGGCCTCGTTATTTTTCTAGGAAGCTTAACGGACTTAACAAAAAATCATAAATCCGGAATACATACCTACGTAAAATTGGGATAGTTTCCCTAAACATTTCTAACACCCATTGCACTTTTGTCTTTTATTGACGATTAGTTTAGGTAAAATAATATCACTCAGTTTCAACACATTTAACTTGTTTTTTGTTTATGACATTCATTAGATCGGCACGCCACAAAATTATAACAACATATTATCGGAAGTACTGTAAAAACAATGTAACAATAGGTAGAAAAAGTATGAAGTTTATCACGGTGTTTTTGTACCATGATATTCAATTTTTTTTTGTGAAATTACTCCACTAGTTTGTTGCAACGTATTGCGGAGGATGCACAAAGGCTTGGAGCTCCTGAACTGTAAAAAGGAGGAAGCTGCAGTACTTCGAGCACATCATGCGGAGTGATAAATACTCTCTACTGCAATTCATTCTACAGGAAAAAATCGAGTGCTGCAGAAGTGGTCGTAGAAAAACCACATGGCTTCAAAATCTTGCAGAGTGGTTCAACATGAGTACACCACAGAGCTGTTCCCAGTCGCAACATCACGAACCCAAATTGCCATAATGATGGCCGACCTCCTGTAGGAGATGGACCCCAAAAAGTAGAAGTTTGTTATCCCAGTGGATTCAAACCAGGGCCAGAGTCTTCAGTATAACGTGCCTGAAGCTAACTATGCCAAAATTCAAAACAAAGCTATCTATGTCAAGATTCCTTTTTACTTATAACACGTCTGTCACAAACGTTTCACAGGCAACTTGGCAATTCTATAATGTAGCCTTACCCCAATCTTATTGTTTTGAGCGCTTCCGTCCAAGATGATGCGGTTCCAATCAATGCTGTTGGTGTAGCACAGTCGGTCGTTGTTCTGTATCCGAACCGCACCGCGTTCAATAGTTGTCAACGAACGTAGGCCCAGCATCTACATCCAATCATTGGAATACTTTGAATAAAACTGCCGTCCACTAACTAAAAAGCGGCTAAGTGACAAATGGTTTAATATCCATTTTAAATAGCAAAAAAATAGAGCATAAAATTCTCTTTTAAAAACAGTTAAAATTAGTTAACGTGTTCGACTTAAATATTGGAACTGAACCTAACGATGCATAGCTGAAATATCATTAAACAATTTCAGTATTCAAAATTGGGTTATGGCTTTTTTATGATACCTCAAAAAAAATATTTTGTCACTTAGCGGCGTTTTTTGTTAGCGGACCGCAGAAATACAATACAATAACATAGTCAAACGCAAATAATCTTTATTTCATAGATAAGTAAATTTTACTTGAAATCGTCATATAAGACGGTGGAAAATTGAAATATCGTAAGGAACATTTTGTCGTAATGGAAAATGTCTCTTACGACATTTCAACATTCGACACATCGACAAAATGATTACCTTTATATCGGCAGTGGAGATTTGAAATCATAAGAGATATTTTGTCGTAAGGTCAATTTCCCTTAGGACAAAATGTCCCTTCCTACATTTCAAATTTCCACTGTCGATATTGATTAAACTCTTCTGCTCATTCGTAAGGCAGATTCTCCTGAGAAGAATGGGCAAAAGCTCTATGTGTTGCTTTTTGTAAATAAACTTTTGTAAACATTAATCATTTACAATATTTATTTCTAACATCATAGATCGACACTACCCGTAAGAAATAAATGAGCACTACCACGAATTTTTGTCATCTAAGTATGCAGAAGTTGTATAATACTAAAGGTATTATATAAAGTTTTTGTTTCATTGTAGTTTTAAACCTCGTGAATGGCAAATTCTAAATATCAACCGGAATCTTACTATAAAAGTTTATACATTGCCCCTTAAATAAATTTGTGTGTGGTTTTGTGAAAACGACTGTCGAGAGCAGCCAGTTTATGTTTATTCCTCGTATTAATGTTATGTCTCCAGTACATTTTGATACATGTACTGTGACGCTAGTGAAAGGACGTTAATTTCTGAAAACTTATCTTTCTCGTGTCTCATAGTCGGTCCAAGTTGGACTTTATTGATATTGTCCTTTGTTTGTCACGAACGATAATTACTTGCTTTCCATATATTTTTTTTCTGCTGGACGGAATACGCTAAGAAAGCGAACACATACCTCAAGGTCTTCATTATCGAATATGACGAGGGAAAAGTCCTTGTAAAGTTGTATCCCACGTATAACCGAGAGGTTCGGAAACAAGTCGCCCAAGTTGCGAACGGCTCTCATTCTGAAACGTAGATAAAAGCGAAAACTTAATGTGGTATATGTGAATGGGTGAAGATCTTCGATAATACGTGAACATTACGTTGATTGCATTACATATCAAATTTTAATTTAATTACAAAACCACAATCCCCAAAAACATACTATCAGCTGAAGCTGTAGTAAACTGTACAAGGAAATACATGCTATACAAACCCAAAAGTCAGGAAGAAAATAAAAGGTACGGTGTGTATTTATATTATATCTAATAGACACGAAAAAATTTTTTTCACAATTGGTACACATTATTGTGAAATTTCATCATCAACATCAACTCATGTATACGTCATATTGCTAGGCACGGGTGTCCTCACAGGCGAGGGTTTAGGCCATAGTCCGCCACTCTGGCCCAATGCGGGTTGAGAATTTCACCCGTTTTACGAAGGTTGTAAACCCTTTTCGACGCGCAGGTTTCATCACGATGTTTTCCTTCACCGAAAAGCTCGTGGTAAATTTAAAATTAAATTTCGCACATAAATTCCGAAAAACTCAAGAGGTGCGAGCCTAGATTCGAAACCACGACCTCTGCTTGCGAGGTGATAGGTCAAACTTTTTTTTTATAACTTCAAGTGACGGGACGAACAAGTCGTGCGCTTGATCTTTAAATTGCAAAGATCTGAGAGGCACTACCACTGTGCCCATCACGTAAGTTGACAAGTCCCATGTGCCTGTAATTTCACCATCACCCTTACCCTTCAAACCCGGAACACAGTAATGCTGACATCAGTGCTTGGCGGCAGAAATGGGTATGATGGCAATACTAACCTGGACGAACTCTTTCAAAAGGAGCTCTACTGCTACTAAAACTGATAGGGCGCGTTCCCAGTATGTCGTCACGTTTTATTGTCGTTGGACGACTGTCGAGTCTAGCCTGTTCCCATATCACGACTATCTGTCGTGGACGATTTTTTATCGTTGAACGACTGTCGTGACTAGCTGTTCCCACTAGATCGTGACGACAATAGGAGTTGCGACAGTCTGTCGTCATGTTTTTATCGTGACGTTTTTTTATCGTCAGACGACTGTCGTTCTAGCTGCTCCCACTGTGACGACAGTTTGTCGTTGTAATGATAAAAAATCGTGAACGAGAGTTAATCGTGTCGTGCTATATGTGAACAACTTCATTTAAATATACAAGCCACGACACTGTAAACTGCACGACAATCTGTCACGACATAGTGTGAACGCGCCCTTAGGCTACAATTGCTTTTTTTTTTAATTGTGAAAATAAAAAAAAAAACATTGTATTTGTCTAATTTCATTGTTCCTGAATAAGCTAGGTATAGAATGGGTGCGGTTCGTAATATATAACAACAAATGACATATTTTTAGTTGATTTAACGCTCAACAGATCTAATTAATTTATGGTATACAGATATTTGACATATTCTTGCTTGATATAAGGGTCACTGGGTATAATTGACGATTGACTAGCGGCCGGCGAGTGCCAGAACCGAATTTGTTTGCATTTTCTAGTTGGTTCGACCGCCAACTGTGGGTTTAGGTTACGTTAGTATATAAAAAAGCTGAACGAGTCGAGTGAGCGCAGCAAGCGTGTCGCGGTAGCGGTCGGCGAGGGCCAGAACCGAATTTGTTTGCATTTGCTAGTTGGTTCGATCTCCAACTGTGGGTTTAGGTTAGGTTAGTATATGAAAAAGCTGCACGAGCGAGCGCAGCGAGCATGCCGCGGCAGCGGCCAAAGAGTGGCAGAACTGAATTTGTTTGCATTTGCTAGTTGGTTCGATCTCCTCCTGTGGGTTTAGGTAAGGTTGTTATATGGAATTAAATATTCTGCTTAAAGTTTTTATAAATATATTTTGTAACACAAAAAGCATCTAAAGTTATAAAAAACGATTATATTTTGCGATAGCATTTAATGAAATAAAAAAATTCTTATCAACATAATATAGGGCGCTTCAACTTTTCGTAAAACGAAATATTGTGTTATATTATTTAAGGCAATTATACTGGTAGTAGGTACTTATACCATTTGTTCATTATGTCACCTAATCATTATATCTAATGTTTATTATACTGACGGTTTATTGTACACATTGAAATTGTCCCTTATGTTGTTATACTTTTTCTTGATTATATACAGTGAGTGATTATTACCTTAGAAATTATATGAAATGTTGTTATACAAAGTGAAAATAGATTATTTGTTGTTATATCTTCCATTACAAACCCGCATGGAATAGGTCAGTCTAAACATAATAAAATAATTATCACTCCTTACATCAAAGATATAAAAGTTAATGATAATTATATTATGACCTAAAATTTTTCCATACGTCCTCAATCAATTTCGCAGCATACTTTTACTAATATTTTAATGGCTATTGTGTTACCTGTAAATCGTAATATATCCAGTGACCTCTCGCAGAAGTGGAAAGCTGAGGTTCGCGAAATCGTTGGCCGTGACATGCTCCATGAGAACGATGTTCAGATAACCCTCGATCACGCGGCATCCTTGTAAATTCTGGAACTCTCCTAGATTGTTTCTGATGTCTAGACTTTGGCATACTGAAACAAACAGATGAAGTTTTATAATATGTTCATAGGTAGTGAGACCGACGTGACTCCGCATTGGGATAACGTGAGTTAACCCAGCGCGCGTCCTATAGACACACGGAATCACAAACGATTTTGGTATTGTAGCGCCTTAGATCCACATGGTGTCTTTAAAGCAAAGCTATGTTTTCATCCAACATTTTATTTAAATGTTGCTCCAAAATTTGTAAAAAAATTACCAAAACCTGGGACTCTCGGACTAGAAACACATGTCTAGAACACGTGACGTGTTAATGTAGTAAAAGAGTGTTGTGCTTTTTTTGTGTATTTTTTTTGGGATTGATGCAAAGTGAAATGGTTTCATAAGATAAACATTGCTTTATTCAACAAACTTGCTTGATAATAATGAAGCGTAACACTGTACATTTTTAGTTGTCACAGTAAGACGACAATTGGAAAAAGTAAAATGTTAAAAAAGAAACCATTTTCTCGTATCGTTAAACATTCAATTTGTACAAGTTTCTGTGCTATTATCACGTAATTCGCTTACGGTAACAATACTTCATTAGAAGTGATTAATTTGTTATTGTTTTCGCGAACAAGTAGATTATTTAGGACTAATAGCCTCCCACAGAGCAATTCTGCGGCGACCACATGGAGCGAGGGTGTTTATTACGTGTTAGTCTACCACCTACCACCGCTTCACGCCTACCACTTGACTTGATCAAGTTAAGCGGGAACAGAGCTCATCTTGTATAATAAAGTATTCTATAAACCACGTGGGCTAACAATATTAAACGCTAGATTGACGACTATACTTTTTCAGATTCTGTAGGTGGAAACTGGATAGGGGATAAATAGGTCAGGTACCTACAGTTTATTTTGTTAAAGTACTTTAGTGAGTACGTAGTTAATAATAACGATATGCTAGAACCAACCACTCCAATTACTAAGTCGCAAACTAGGGAATGCCCTATGAGTACAAGACTGAACAATCGAGTTTTTTTATGCCACCAAGTAACGAGACGAACATGTCGTGGTGGTAAATGACACGCTTGTCCACAGCACGTGCAGTGCCACTCAGAGCTTTAAATCGCAAGGATTTGAGAGGCACTGCCACTCGACCACCTGGACCTGAGACATAAGTCGACAAGTTCCATGTGCCTGTAAGTTTCATTACAGTTCAATTTCATTTCAGGGCATCCTGAACACCTAGACAAGAGCTAGATTAGAAAAGTTCATTTCCCAAATTGGTTCTACCGGGAATTGAACCGGGGCCTCTGTATCCAGCGCTCACAGTTGGGCCACCGAGGTCGTCGAATCAAATATAATGAACTTTGTATATTATGATATTCGTGTTTGTACAAGCGTATAATGATAATAAAATTTGAAAACAATATACTAAGAACCAAATGTACTAATTATTTATCGTAAAGAACTATTATTGTTTGTAATAAATTATTTACATCTGTACGCGTCATACCATACAATCAAATAGTTTTATTTGTACTTGATTAAGTATACATATATGTATTTGTTATTGGGTTGTTTATTATAAATAAATTTATTGTTTTCTTTGGCACATACGCATTATTTTAGGATATTTTATAGTTCTGATCAGCTCTAAATAAACAGAATGTAAATTGGTTTCCCTGCGATAATATAAGAAATCCTAAAAAGATTGCAAAACTACCATGTTCAAACAATGACCATTGTAATGTCAAAATGTGTTATTTAAACGAAGCATAGGAGAATGAATAAATAATATATTTCCTAATCAACAACAAATATAGAACAGTTCGATACAATGTTGAGGTAAAACCGATGTTACACTTTTTGGTTGTAACCTTTACAAAACTTGAGGTATTGAAGGTACGTAAATTTAGAAACAAACCCTTCTCCAATAAAGTTAAACGTATTTCTCGTTATTTATTTGAATAATTGGAGTCATATTTTGAGAAAACTTGTTCATTCCGTCACTTGAAATTATTAAAAAAATCACGACTTTCTGTCAAAGTTATTTGTTCGTAGAATGGCTTTTACCCCGTCAACGATTATAGATTTTAAACAGCCATGAAAAAATCCAAAAAATTCAAATGTTCATAGATCTCTCGCAAACTTGTCGAAGGTCAAATCCAAAAGTGCCCTTTTTTAATCGAACGCAATCTTGAATGAAATGGTAAAGTATTAGCCATAAATTTTCCATTTTTAACCGACTTCAAAAAAGGGAGGAGGTTCTCAATTCGACTGTATGTTTTTTTTGTATGTATATTACGCGATAACTCCGGTATTTCAGAACCGATTTTCATGACTCTTTTTTTGTTGGAAAGAGGGTACCTCCATAGTGGTCCCATTTCATTTTGAAGAAAATCATCCACCTCTAAGGGTGGCTGTTCACGCATGAAGATTCATTTTTATAAATAGCGCCTGAATTTTATTTTAATGGTTGATTTTGCTATTTTATTTTATTTGCTCCAATTCAAGGCGTTTTTCTCTCAATATACTTTGAGTAGTGAGAACCGATTTTTATTATCTCCTGTGTCAAGTCCCGTATAGTGGCGAACTAGGGGTTGAATCCGGGTTTGCGCACTTTCCGGTAACCGATTTCAATAAAACTTGATAATTATATGTAATTCCACGAATTTTTGAAGTCGGTTATTTTAGTACTCTGTACTGAGATTATGTAGTAAATAAATGGCTTGAAGAAAATATTGCAGTGTTACTTCAACCTAAGAAAAGTGCGTGATGTCACGTCGCGAAATTGTTAGTAGACTGTCAGTTTGCAGTGACAAAAATTTCCCTAATAAGTATGTAATATAAAAATTATAATACTGCTATGCTAATACTTATCTTAGAGACCTCTTCCTTCCAGAGACTTTGTATATTTTTTTTGTATAATATAATTATTTTCAAAACATTAATTTTATTTTATAATATTTTAAAGCATGAATAACAAATACCTTTAAAAACTTTTGAATGTTTTTGTTGTCTTGGCCTAAAGATTAAAACCCTTATGTGTGCTATTTTATAATACTTAAGAACCATCACGGCTGAATTTGGAGGAGTCGCAACTTCGTATTTTGCACACTGTAGGTATATTAACAAAACTGTGCATGATGCGGCGAAACGCGTAAATTGCGTGACTAACACAAAGACTATAAGTTGTTGACGGAAGCACGCGCACGCCTTCTCCAGGTTGTTACAACGAAATAACGCCAAAATCATGGGAACTGCAGAAATCTAGTACAAAGAACCCGTTTAAAACATAAAGTTATTACAGTCAGTTCAGTTTCAATGCACAGATATTCGTCCAATGTAAATAATCTTAAAGTAGGTCAACGAATTTAAATCGAACTCCAAAACCATTTACTTTTTTGATTGATTAGGCACTAAATTACACGTGAGTCGATGAATGAGTAAAAGTTTGATAATATTTTTTATTAGTCCATCATAAGCTAAGTCATACTTAGCTGCAAGATAAATCGAAGCTTGTAGCGCTCGAACAAATCCTATTACATTTAGAGCTAGAGATATTCGAACGTAACTCGTCAGCATTCTGCATTTAGCACTTCACTTTCAGATTAAGTATATCTCAATTGTTTCGGATTACGGTGGATTAGAGTATGAAAATAACGAAGTCGAGTGAGCGGGGGCGATACGATATCAATCACACTCCGGTGAAAGCGTCAGAGCGATATGTCGATACAACATCATAGGGGCCGGGTTCCAGTTTCAATAACCGGCAGCCGTCATTTGGTTAATAACGCCGTGTCGCAAAATGATATAGGCATACATTAACGAGCTCGGATTACTGGACAAGAAAACAATGTTCCATATCTCACAGAGAAAACTGATTCAAATCTACTAGTGACCACAAAGCGTGTAACCGTTCAGAAATGTCGGGATAATAATAAGAAGAAGACATACTGTGACATGTAACCACAGATAATCTTTGTTCAAAATGTTCGCTTCACTCCGTTTATGCTTATAATAATTATATGTAGGTACTTTCACTATCCGATTGTCGGTACGGCTTTGCCGCTCTTGATCGTTTAGAATATTGCAATAACATAAACAATGTTTTAGAAAGCTATGATTAACAGTATGAGTAAAACAAGACAAGAGTCGTAACTCTATTGAAACACCAATAATACATATAAATAAGACAGTTAAGTAATGTTATGATCTGGTTTAAGAAATACACGACAGAATTACCTCGTGTCTTTCGTTCTTACAGCTCATAAAAGTCATAAACAAGGATCACGGCACAATAGGGAAGTGAAACAAGATGCAAGGTCGCGGTACTGCGTAATAGATCCGGCTCCCTGCGTAGTACTACATAATCTGACGGGCCCACGGGTAAAATGAGCCCACCCGGATATTATATCCGAGCAACCGATTTCCTATAATCACATAATGCTACCGTCGTTTATACGAGGAAACAGCACAATATGATGATTTGAGGAAATTACTACTATCTTGGGTTTGAAACATTTTAATCATTTTTGCTGATAGAATTTTAAGATATTTCATTATAGTACCTGCATCGCACCCATTCGTGGCACCTTTAAGTGCAATTTTTTTTGCACCAGTCCTTGGTTTACACGGCTATGTCAATGACGTGACATTTATGGCACAATATCCTAAATGAGTAGCAATTTGTGATTACACACTGGACATAACGCAACAGAGAGCATAAATCATAGAACATAAATCGAGATGCAAGGTCGATATTGTGCGTGTAAGCGACAAACTGCGCATTTCTTATTATTTGTATGCGTGGCACAGCAGCGTGGCATAGTAATATGGTTGATCACAGGCAGCATTTCATATTTGATTTAATGGCGTATCATAGAATGTTGGCCATAATTTTATTAATAATTCAATTAATTGATAAAAAGTAAACATCAAAAGGTAAAGACAATGCCTTTATATGTATTTGAAGACCTTTAACACACATATTAACTAACGGGCGATTTAGCACCAATTTTGTTTTGAGGTTATAAGATACC